CCTTAATTTTCTTAAATGCTTGCTGTTATTATTCTATTTAATTAAATTCTTGATCTTTTCTTAATAATTCTATAATTAGTCATATTATTTCTATATAATTCCTTAAATATCTTCTGACGTATTTTATTGCACTTAGAAACTACTATATTTTATTGATATTTATTAAGATAGACCAGTTAAGTATTACATCTTTCTTTTCTAATTAGATCTTTAATCCTTCTAGCGTATAAACTATTCCTAAGTAATTAATAGTTATAGTATTAAACTCATACTTTTTAATCTTAAATGTCAATCCTTTATTTATAAATACTATTATAACTAGTTATATATATTCTTCATATTTCTCTGGATTTTTTAAGTATATAATAATATTATTAAAGTAAATTACAATAAACTTGTTCAAGTATTTCTATAGAATATATATTATATATTATATAAATTATGCTGGTAGATTTTTTAAACCTATTAGTATAACTACCCATTTAAATAGTTCTTTATCTATAAGGAAAGCTATTTTCTAAATATTATCTTTAACCATTTATAGGTTGTAATAATTCTATTAAATGTCAAAGACTATTATAATCTTTACTCCCTATAAGAGATCTCTCTTTTATTCCTGATAAGATATCTTATTTATATTATTCACTATTTCATTATTCAGTGCTTTGTAATTAATAATTATTTATTTAATTATATCTTTCTTATTAATAAATATCAATTATGCTGATATCTTTCTATATTCTAATTATATATATATTACTTTATAAAACTTGTCAATAAACTCATTTTTAAGTTTTAATTTATCTCTTAATTTATAATATTACTTAACTAAGAATAGTATAAATTCTTCTTTTAGTTCAATTCATACTTCAAATTCTTTATTATATATTAGTAATTATTATTCTCTTTTCATAAATAGTTCAATAAACTTATGATATTTCTTAAGTAATTTTACTAAAATTTCTATAAATTCCTTTTTATATAGTTCTTTTAGTTTTAGTTTTATCTTCTGTGTTTTTTTAGTAATTCTTATTTTCTTAATTATTTATATTTATTAGATTATCCTAATTTTCTTTATTTTATTATTTTTAATTTATATTTTATTTTTATTACTTAAGTCTCTTTAATTATTTTATGATTTTTTTATATTTTATACTTTATCTTTTTTATTAATATATTTAATATCTTTAATAAATATTATCTTCTATTCCTATTCTTTTATCTTTTATACTAATCTTTCAACTTCTAATAACATACTAAGGATTCTCTCTATTTCCTCATATAGCTATATAATTTCTTTAATATTCTTTTTAATCATTCATATCTTTAATATCATTTTATTAATAATTATTATTCCTTTTATCTAATCAATTATTAGATTTTATATTTATAATTATGCCATTCTAAATACAACATTATAGTATTTTCTCAATACTAATACGATGTTGAGCATCACTATTATAACATATTGTCCTGATTTTACAACAATATTTAATACCTATCTCTTATAGCTTTGACTGATTATTTCTCCATTAATAGAGATAATTATCACCTATTTATCAGTCTAAATCATAGATAGTCCTACTTCTTTTACAAATTCTTCTCTAATATAGTTATAAACTGCTTCTAAATCTAGTAAGATTCTCACATCTTTTTCATTAATTTTTACTAATATCATCACTATTTAACTAACTACTTTCTATTCTATAATTATTATAATAAGTTTAATCATAATTATATGCCTTTTTTAGTATCTTTATTAATATTTGAAATATCCTTTAATATTATAATAATATTATTTATATAATCCTTCTGCTTCGCATTCAGTGATTATAATATCATCATGATAAGAATGTGCAGATTCTTAATAGATATACTGATATTTTATTCATTCCTATAAATATTCAAGTCTTAATTCTTTAATCACTTCTAGAATTCTTAAAAATCATCCTATTTATTCTTTCTTCACAAGATGTATTTCACATAATAAATCATAACACATTATCTAATATACTTCTCAATACAAATTTCCTCCTAATACTAGATAGTAATGATAAGAGCAATTCCTCATATATCTAGTTATTTCATTATAAAAGTGTCATCCTCACTCATGCAATATATATTCATATATATTTACTAAGATTACATATATTCATTTATATCATTAACACACATAATATGTCCATTCTTTATAGTATTTATATTCTTCAATATAATCTTTCCATTTCTTTTAAGACTTCTCCTAACAAGTTGTATTTATTAATATATAACTATATTAATTATTCTCTTAAGGTTAAATAGTATTATTTTATATTTCTTCTAATTCTTCCTTAAAAGGGTTTTTGTCTGGTTTTCAGTATAGATTCTTATAAGTTATTATTATTAGCCTATTATCTTATAATATTAGTTAAATATAAAGCAACTCTTCTAATAAAGATTTTACTTAAGTATCTTCTATACTAAAATCTTCTATATTAATTTCTTCTAGATTAGCATCTTTACTATATTCTTCTAATAAGTCTCTAATATTTTCAAGGTGATATATGAGAAATGCCTAGCTAATTGATTCTTTCTTTAAATTATAAGATTGATATCTCTTTCTTATATTAATACTAACTTATCTTACTTATTTAACACTTCTTTTAAGACTAAATCTTTTTTATCTTTATTTCTTATCTTTCTTGCTTAGATTATTAAATATTTCTTTTAGATATTCTAAAGCCTTCTACTCTTCAATTTATTATATCTATTTTATTTAGATTTGTTTATAGTTTATTATCTATTCTAATTATTATTCTTCATCTTTGACCGATTTCTTTAAATCTTCATTAGAATTAATCTCATTATTAGCTATTTTATCAGCTTTACTATTATTAATTAAAATTAGTAGAATTATTATTGTAATTTACTTTTTTAAATTTAAAGTGACTAGTTTCTAATTTTTTCTTAACTTTTAGCATTAATTTATAAAATAATCTAGTTTTCTATAATTAAAACAGACTTTATTCTTTTTTAGTTTATCTTTTTCTTCTTTAAACAAGGTTATATTTAACTATATTATAATATCTCTATTCTTATTCTTAGTTTATCTTTAATAAAAATTTATCTTATTTCTTTTAAACTCTTCTTTTTCCAATTATTAGATATAAATAATTAAATTAATCTAGGATACTGTTTTTATCATTGCTTAGAATATTTTAGATTATAATATTATTATTAAGATTTAGTCTTTAATATTATCTTTTAGTCCTTTATAAAACTAGTCTCTAAATTCTTAATTATTCTATAATAGTCCTTCTAATATCTATAAGAATTTTAAAATATATTCTTTAACTAAAATTTATTATTTAATATATTAAATCTTATTAATAGCTTCAATCTTCTTATTAATAGTTCCCTATAACTGGTTAAGTTTCTCTTTATAATACCAATAACTAAAAAATATTATAATTATTTTAGGGTTTTTTTATTCTTTATTACTATATATATAATATTAGTTAATAATATATAAAGCAAACCACTTTATAACTTTTCTATTAAGGAAGCTTAATACTACTAATATTTTATTAGATTTACTTATAATTTATTTACTATTATATATAAAATAAAGTCATATCTAAGCAAGATATATCTTAAAGATTCTATATTTTTTCTTAAATAAAGTTACTATTCTAATTTTAATTTCTTAAAATATATAACTTAGTCTTCTTTTATTATTAATCACTACTTATTCTAGTTTTTTAATATATTATAATAATACTACTATATCCTTATTATTAATAGTTATAATATTCCTATTACTAGTATTAGTAATTCACAAGTTAAGATTTAGAGTTGTTAGAATTAGGATTTAAAATACTATTATTACTTATCTTTAAGACTTCTCTTTTAACTAAAGATTTTAAATTATTAGAAATTTTAATTAAATTATTATCAAATATAGCTAAGATAACTATTAATAGGTAAAGTTAATAGACTTTTAAAATTAAAAAATCTTAGTAGATAAAAGAAATAAAAATAAAACTATAAATATCTTAATTAATAGAAGATTATATATTCAAGTTATCATAATTAATTTAAAATAATAAAAGAAAACTAAATATATAGTAAATAAGTATCCTTATATAACTTTTCTTTATTATAGCTAATATAGCAATAGCTCTGTTCACTCTATTCTAACTAACATAGTTAACATAGCAACGGCTCTGCTAGCTTTATTACCCTAATCCTAAGGCTTCGCGGGTAATCCTTTATTCCGATGTGCATTAGTCTCATAGTGACTAACCTGATCTATTGGCTGTGACGTTCTGATTCTCTGACACTCAAGCTCATATACTACCTTATAATAAGGTATATAGCGTGCATGTTTAAAGAAGCTTATTTATTTAATAATTAAATTAACTTCAGCTTTAGATAGCTTGGAATTAGCATTATAAGCTTTTTTTGGTGTAGCATGTTGGGTTTGGCATATATATTAAACTTGATTATGTATAATATAAAGCTATAAAGTAATCTATAGATAGGTAAAATTAATGTCTTAGAGAATCAATATATAGATCCAATCATCTCTAGTAAGCTGTTTTAAATATAATTTTGGTTCTGGAGCTGTAGTAGACTCTGGGGTGGTAGGCATATTATTGATTGATTAGTTAGAGCACGTCTCGGAGCGCGGATTCTCAAGGTGTAGTAATAACTAATATAGGCAGGCGGTAAGTGTAACTTTGTTGACCGCCTACACCCCTGCAAGGCCCACCATACTAGGCAAATCACCGGGGTCAACCGTAGTACTCTACTCGTAATACTCCGTAATGCTTGTAATTATGACTGAGCCCTGAAGGCTTGGAGATTGCATTTGGCCAAGACCTAGGGAACAGACGTATGTAAACTTTGTTGCTCCCCTCCCTTACCGATCTCCAAAGTCTCTAACCTCACCTTCACCTGGACTCGTGACTCCTTCTCCCTGGAGCCTCTCGGATTCTCTCCCTTCTTTGTCCTATACCATGCGTAAGTCCCTTGACTCGCGACTCATTGCTCCCGAACTGACAAAACTCTTGCTCACTAGCAAACACCGACTGCCAGACAGATGACAATTACACCGCTCCTGATGGACTCAATTTCACCATCTACTGCGGAGAAGACATCACAGCATCAGCATACAGCTCGAGCGCACCGACGTCCAAATCCAACTACACCAATTGTATCACCAGCTGCTCTGAAGAAGACTACTACTGCTATGGCATTGTTTATCAAGCATCGAACAGCTCATGCTGGGAATTGACAAACAAGACCGCATCGACCGAGTCCAACCTGGCAACCAATACGGACTTGATTACTGCTCTGGCAGACCAGTCCCAGTTGTTCATCGCGAACACTTCCTGCCCCTATCAGAACCAAACAAAACAGACATCGTCGTCGGGGGTGGACTTCACGATAAACTGCAATATGGAAGTCACCGCTGGATCGTACTGCCCCTGGTCCTCCACACTTTGTCCCGTCCATGTTGACAGCCTGGAAGAGTGCATGGATATCTGTGTTGACGCACATCCGCTCTGTCGGGCTGCCTCGTGGAATCCCGGCATGATCCACGGATATCAGAACTGCTATCTATACGATGCCAGCGAGCCTGTCGTGAATTTCAATCCATATATTTTACACACCGCCGTCATAGACCTACCGGACATCGCCACAGGCTGCCCTACAATCACCAACTACACTAGCTACGCTAGCGACGTAGAGACTATATTCAGCATTTCCTGCGCCCAAGAGGCAACTAGCGCTACGAACCTCACATTTGTGCATGAGACAAATATCACATCGTGTATGGACAGATGTGCTACATATTCTGACCCTCCCGCCTGCGAGGCAATCATCTTCGATCCCACGATGGGCATTGGATACGAAAACTGTCAACTGCTGAATTCGGTTAATCTGGTAGCTTCTGCTTCGAACGTCAACTACGCTCATATTGTCTCTTCCAATTCTTCCGGCTCCGGTAAGACGTCCGATGCTTCTTCCAGCGGATCTAGCAGCGAGGCTTGGATTGCCGGTCCGGTTGTTGGTGGTATTGCTGCAGTAGCTGCTATCGGTCTGGGGCTCTGGTGGTGGAATCGGAGAAAGAGAAGCAACACTCGCGCGCCACCAGTGAATCCACCGTCGGCAGAATATAAGCCTATGTATGCGGCAGCTGGTGAACCCGTAGAGCTGCCGAAGAACTCTGTAGAACGCCGGCCCAGTAATTTCCATGAGCTATCGGCTCAGGAAGGACATGCCGTACATGAATTGCCCGAATAATTTAGATACCCGTGGGACCGCATCGCATTGTGTATGGCATTTTAGCTTATTGTTTTATTGGATGATTCCCTTCCAGGTTGCATGTATGTATGTACTAATCTTTGTTAATAAAAATAGTCCCAAGCCCTTGTCTACCTATTAATAGAACAGCCTGAACTTGGCGATAAAAGATGAATCGAGCCCGAGGGATAAAACAGAATCTTCATCGAGGCTTCCTCAAACCAGAGCGCTCCGTGTCTAGGTAGCAGACGACAGGCCCTGTCGATCGATGCTTGCCAGGGTTTTCGAGGGAGAAGGGAGAAAGGGGGGAGACAATGAGGATTGCAACACACGAGCAGCTCCAAGTAGCGTGAAGGTCTTCAACCCCAAGAAAAAGCAAGGATCCAAATGGGTTGTCTGAAGCGACGGCCAATCAAGCCGCATTACGTCACGTGCGCTTGCACGAAAGCGGCGAGGGTGCGCCGGGAAGGGGAAAGTGAACTAAGCTTATCAATTCGCCTTCTGCCTGCCTTCGCCTTCCCCTCTCCCCATCGCCCATCTCTGCAGCCCGTGTCCATTTGTGTGTTCTTATAGAAACAACAAGATATCTCTTCTAGTGCTCAGTTCTTCTTTGCGCCCGCCCGACTGCAATCGCCCGCCCGTTCTTAATGCACCACCACCAGTAATGCCCCCGCCCGATTCGGCCCTGCTGACGCCGGCCATGGCGTCACCGTCTGGCTTCACAACGTCTGCTCGCTCGCACACTTCCAGGCCAGAATTGACCCTGCCGCCTTTCATGCTGCGAGAGTTACCGGTGTCGATGTCGTCAACGCCAGATGTGATGGCTGAAGTCGCAGCTTCCTCCGGCTCCACCGGCAGAGGCATTCTTATCGGCCTTCTTTCAGCTTTAGGATCCGCCGGAGTCGCCATTGTCGTGCTGACTATCATCGTTTTTTTCAAATATACGAGGCGCGGTCGAATCCTGCTTGATCGAATAGGGAGACCGGGAGAATTTGACGATGAAGAAGCGTTCGCTCGAGAGGAGGCTGAAGCCTTGGAGATCATGGATGACCTTTCTAGGGCCGAGTATCTTCGATCTAAAGGTGCGTTTTTTGTCCAAAACGAACTTTCTTTTATTTATTTTCAGCAGTTCTAACGTCCTTGCGCAATTTGATAGCTTTTATTCAAGCAAATCCACCCGAAACCATGCAGACCGATATCTCGCTATCGCAGTTTCTGGCTATACAAGAAAAGGGAGTTTCTGCCTGGGAATTTGAACCGGAACTGGAAATCGCCAATTGTTTTGTGGAGGGCCGAACCGAAATTGAATTCTTCGACTCGGAATGCAGCGTTCAGACCAACCTGCCTGTTCCAAAACAGAACGAGGTCTATTACTGGGAATCCAAGATATACGATAAACCGGAGTCGACCTTGATTAGTATCGGCATGACTACAAAGCCGTATCCATTATTTAGACTGCCAGGTACGTTCATTGTTTTCGTTGGGCTTAGTTGCATATTCGTCCAAAAGTGCTTGACTAATATCGCATTGCACACCAAATAGGGTTTCATAAAATGTCTGTCGCCTATCAATCGACTGGTCATCGAAGATACAACCAACCCTTCAAGGCTCTCAACTATGGCCCAGAGTATTCCCAAGGCGATGTCGTTGGAGTGGGATATCGACCGCGATCCGGCACGCTATTTTTCACACGCAATGGAAAGAAGCTGGACGATGTCGTACATGGCCTCAAATCGCCGAATTTCTTTCCAACAGTTGGTGCCAACGGACCATGCACAGTGCATGTTAATTTTGGGCAGATGGGATTTGTTTTCATCGAGGCTAATGTAAAAAAATGGGGGTTGGCTCCCATGACTGGTAGTCTTGCACCGCCACCGCCCTATGGAAGTGAACAAGGAAGTATCCTCCTTGAATCAGGGCGCGAGACCACTGCTCCTGTTGCCCGTGGATATATCGATGATGGATATCGAGGCTCGCGGTCAAATGCGCCTAGTCCCGGTCCGATCCGATCACCAACCGATATCTCTCTAGCACAGCTGGCGCATATACCCTCGCACGAGGATATTGGTGAAGGCTCGAGTCGCTTCAGGTCGGGTGCCGCAGAGGAGGGTCTAAATATAGTAACCGCGACGAGCCCGCCCCCAGAATACTCAAGTCCAGAATTGAGCAGACAGAATAGTCTTAGTTCGGAGAATGGGGATGAAGATGAGGATGCTGGTCATCCGCCAGGGTATTCTGCTGTGATGACTGATGAAGAGAGACAAGAAGATCAAATTCAGCGCGAACAGCAACGATGACCTGCATGACGGTGTCTTGCCACACGAAGTGGCTTCCTTTCTTTTTTTCCTTTTCTTGTTTATCATACTTGTTTCAGCACCCTCTCCCCTGCTTCTCCTCTTCCGCCTACCTGCGCTTTACTGATCTATCATGTCACCATCAGTCGTTTTCCCTTTCTTTTCGTCATGTGTTAGGCTCATTGCTACGTTTTCCAAAATTAGCGGTCATGGATGGCGTCTTGCTTCCTTTTGTGTTACTATCGGGATTGTGTTTGGCTTTGCCTCTTTCTTTCTTTCTCTTTTCGTATTTCTTCTCGACTTACCGTTGGGCTGGCAAGGATGATTTATGTATTCGTTGGGCTTATTGTATTGGACTTTTTCCCCTTGTTAAAGTTAGAAGATTCCCCATCTCTCTTTTATTTATTTTTTTCCCCTTACCTACTCACTGGTGGTAGAAGCTGAGCGACTTGCGAGCACACAACACTTGGGTAGCATATACTAGTTACTATATACATTGCGCGGGCAGCGATCTTGCACTGTCAATATATACCTCTCTCTGCATAATGTACGTATCCGGTTCCGTGGTGGAACAAATTGAATGACGTTCCCGCTAGGCCCAAACCGGCTAGCTGAATCTGGAGTAATCGCAATCATCGCGGCCTGAGGCGGCCAAGCACAGCCGGGCCCTTCCCCCAGCCGGAAAGTGAGCTCTTGCCCGATATACAATCTGTACCACCTCTCTCTCCATCCACGACTCTTCCTGCTCCCAATTGACCCCAGCAATGCTCCTTTCTCCTTTCCCTGTTGTCCGAGAAACCAGACAGCCTCGCACACCACATCACGTCTCTGCTGCAAGACCCGTTTGTTCCCTGGGCAAGTTGCTTCGTGCGTTGTCGTAGCATGAAAGACGCTGCTTCTTTTGCCACCTCTCTCTTGAGTCTTACTTTCTATGTTTTTTTTGAGATGATACCTACCGCGCAACTAATTAAACAACCCTTGTCGCTGATCAGCTTCTTGTGATTCTTGTTTTTCTGGAGGATATCTGTTTTTCGTTTTTTTTTTTTTTTTTTTTTCTTTCCCTTCTTCTTTTACTTTACCTAACTAACACTACGTACATCATCGATCTGTTAGCGCCAGGTTTTATATACCATATACTTCGCTAACGATAACAATGTCACTGGAAATCGCGGCCTAGGAAGCAGGCGCCAACGACATTTCTTCGGTTTTGCGGCTTTTTATTTTATTTTATTTCCCGGGGGACTTTCTCACTTCTTTGTTCTGATTGACCGCTCATACGCCCGTTTGTCGAGAGTACACCAGTCTGATCTCCACCGAGGCTTACATCTTACATGAACGCTCTTCAATTGAGACATAGACTGGTCTGGCTGTCTGTCCTTGTCTCCATCTTCTAGAGATTTCATCATATTTTCTCACTTCTTTTATTTTTTTATATTTTTGTACTTTTGGTCCCGTTGAACCGATTCTTTGAAACTTGGCTTTCCGTCCAGCAAAAAAGTGGACCCGGTGCAGGATACATATACAGTTACATTCGTCAGATATCAAAGATCAGGTTTCTGGCGCAGGAATTGGGGAGTATTTCCTAGTGCAACAGCAGAAAGACTCGATAAATATGGTCGAAGAAACCATGGATAGAGCCGCTTTTCAAGTTATTGTCCTGGTAAGTTGAGTTCTACCTAATCTCAACCGGAATAAAAAAAAAGAGAGAATTTCCTAGAGAAACTAATTTCCTCATAGGGACCAACTGGCGGCCCAAAAGAGGACGCAGTTACCGGTCTTCTTGTTAGATCTACTTCCAGAAATTGGTCCAGGAGCTCGGTTGTTGCAGTCGATGCTGGGACTCTTCTTGCAGGCATAGTTCGTATTCTGGACCAAACCCTTACTACTGATAAAGACGGCAAAGCGGCCGTGGAAAATGGGCCTTTTATGGGCCTCCAGCCTCCACACAAAACAGCTCAGGCAAATGCTGCATACATCTTTCGCGAGGTGATTGCCTCGGTACTGATTACGCACCCACATCTAGATCATCTTTCTGGACTAGCCATTAATACGCCAATTGTCGAGGCAAGCAACGGCCCAAAGACAGTTGCCGGTCTTCCGTCCGCTATCTCAGCTATGAAAAACCATATGTTTAACGACATCATCTGGCCTAACTTGTCTGATGAGGATGGCGGTGCTGGCTTGATCACTTACCAGAGACTGGTTGAGGGTGGGAATCCGAGATTTGGACGAGGAGACAGCCGTGGTTATGTACGCGCATGTGAAGGCCTCTTCACCAAGTGTCTCAGTGTGAGTCACGGTCGGTGTAAGCAGCGGTTTCATGCTGAAAGTGGAAGACATCATCGGATAGGTAGTGCTGTTTTTGCAGAGTCAGTGGTAGTGCCAACGACTCGTACTCTATCAATTGACCAGTCTGATGGAAAGTAAGTCATTGGATTTTGAAATATCGCCTGCTTCACGTGTTTTATCAAACAGAGCAAAATAAGCTGATTGACTTGTCTAGCATCTATTCTCCAGTACGTTCTCCACACCTCGCATCAAACCTAGCAGCTACCCCTTCTAAAGACACTACCAATTGGGGAGTTGTGGAAAGCTCGGCATTTTTCATTCAAGACGAACATTCCGGAAATGAAATTATCATCTTTGGCGACATTGAACCAGACTCGGTTTCCCTGGAACCTCGCAACAAGCGTGTGTGGGAGATTGCGGCCCCGAAAATTGCATCTGGATCGTTACGCGCCATTTTTATCGAATGCTCCTACAATGATGCCATCGACGATGAGACTCTCTATGGGCATCTGTGTCCTAGGCATCTTATTGCGGAATTGAAGGTCCTCGCAGCGAAAGTAGTAGAAGCAAGAAGTCTACCTCTAGAACAAGAGCAGCAACAACATGAACAGCGGCGAAGAGGCCGATCCAGCAAACGGAAGAGAAGAGACTCTGATGCCCAGGTCAGTCCTCATTCAAACCGCCAATTCACGACACACCTTGCAAAACCGCAAGACTCTATCGAACGATCTACACAGACTCCGAAGGGGAACAATCACAACTCCAAAGACGACGCAGTCATGACCGACCATCACAGTGGGCAAATTCAAATCGAGAATAATGCCATTGATGGCGATGAGGTCAATGATAACGATAACAAAGCCGAAGAATCAGATTGTTTTCAAACGGAGAGCGACATGCAGTGGACAGGCCCGCCGCCATTGGCAGGATTCAAAGTGTACATCATCCACATCAAAGACACACTGGCCGATGGACCCCATCCTAGCGAGCGGATTCTGGAAGAATTACGCTCTCAAAGTGACGATGTAGGTCTAGGCTGTGAGTTTCATGTTCCATATCAAGGGGAGGGGATATTCATTTGACATGTCTCATCCTCTATCTTTCTTTTTCGTTGTATCTGTACTATTTCCGGTTCGCTGTGATTTTATTTTGAGTTGATTAAATACAGGCGGCGAGACTTTTACTTCGATGGTATTATGGTTGTTTTTTTTTTTATAGATGCGCGGTGTTGTTATGGATATGGTCAACGGGAATCATGCGGCGTTGATTAGTTAGATGCGTGGGAGGAGTAAGTACCGGTCTCTGTCTCTGTTTCTGTGTCTGTCTACGGTGTTGATGTGATTTGTTATTGTTTCTTACTCATTATCGTTGTAACTATATCCACTGAAGACAGAATACCTTTTTTTACAACTTGCTCGCGTTTGAACCCTTGATTTTCCTTTCTGCTTCACCGATTACATCTACCCACGAAGCATTCTCATCATCATCATCTTGTTGTTGTCTGTGAGTGGGCAGTCTCAACCTCCCCTCAACACCCAACGAACCCACGTCCGTAGTATCCCTCACAAACGTCAACAGAGCCTCTTCGCTACCCCATTCCCCCATCGCCATCAACCCAACCGGCATACCTGTCTCTTCCACATACCCACCGGGGAAATTAATAGCAGGACATCCCGTAAAATTCGCCAAATAGACAAACTCCATACTGCGAGTAGAGCTCATCGCATCCGAGATGCCATATGTCAAATCCCTCTTCCCACCCTTGATCTCGCTGCCGGGTATAGGCACGGTTGGGGTGAGGATTAGCAGGTCCGATCCGGACTCTCTGTGTGTGGTGAAGAGGTGCGATAGATGGCACATGAGTAGATTTCGCATTCTTTGCGCTGCTATGTAGTCGGTGCCCGTGGATTTGGTGCCGCTTACGGATATTAATAATTTTGTATGCGGTAGTAAAGAGCTCACGTCGGATGAGGGGATGCCGGAGGCGAGTTCGCCGAGTATTGTGAGGGCGTGCGCTTGTTGGCCCTCGGGGAGGTAGGGGATGTCAATGTCAATGACTCTGTAGCCCTTGCTGTCTTGTAGGTGTTTAATCATGTGGTCGAAAATGGCTCGCACGGCTGGCTCTGAACGGTCGATCCATGGCCGAACAAGGCCGATTGTTCTGTGCTTGGCGGTTTGTGAATATGAAGTTAATATGGTGAGCGGGTTTGGGAATTCGGATGCAATGCCGTCTACATCAGCAGGTGGCGGAGCAGCTAGAACGCGGTAGGCGAGCGCGAGGTCGTCTATGCTAGAAGCCATAGGACCGTAGACGCCTACAGTGGGAGCTAGCGATGGGCTGGGTGCACCAGAAATGCGGCCGTGAGTAGGCTTGAGGCCGTAAACACCACAGTATGAGGACGGTACACGAATGGATCCTCCGCCATCAGCACCAAGAGCTATTGGCACAAGTCCTGCAGCGAGGGCATAGGCTGAACCCCCAGATGAGCCGCCACAGTAGTAGTTTCGGTTGAATGGATTGCGAGGTGTTCCGGTGTTGGGATTGTTATTTGTTGTATCTGACAACTGTCAGGCCCTTTTTCTTTTCTCTTTTGTGCTAAGACGCAGAAATCCAACTCACCAATACCGACCTCATGCATCGTAGTCTTTCCAATCACGATGGCTCCCGCTTCCTCCCATTTCTCAACACACCAAGACGTCGCATTAAACCCATGCGAGAAATCAAGCTTACTACCAAGCGTTCTTTTATACCCCTTCAGATGAACCTCATCCTTGACAGCAACAGGAACGCCGTCCAGCGGACCAAGCGGCTTTCCATCCCTATACCGCTTGGTTGAGGCAGCCGCAGCAGCCCTGACGGTGTCGACTTGCGTTTCCAAGAACCCAATGGAGAATTTGCCATGTGGCTTTGTTTCTCTCTGGATCAACGGAAGCAGAGTCTCGATGACAACGGTCGGTGTCAGGTCACCAGACAAGTACCGTTGATGATAATCAACCGAGGTCCAGAAACCAGCATCGCTAGCCCCGCGCTGTTCCTGGGGAGTTGGAAGCGATGGTTGTGTATCTGCGTCGCTGCGACTGAAGATTGGCACCACGGTAGGATCAAAACGCGGCGCATAGCTGTTGAGCATTTTCACCGTTTTACGGAAGTTGGTCAGGCCGGCATTGTGCCAGAGATGGTTCTGGAGGAATGCTACATGGTGTATTCTGAGTATTTGCTCATGTTAGATATGTTCCGTCTTGCCTTTTTTTTTTTCTTTTTAAAGTCTAGGGTTCAAGTATTTTGTGTAGAGACAGACATACAAGGTCGCGCCAATAGCTAGCGGCGCTCCACGCAGGACCGGCAAAGAGACATCCTCCCTTTTGTAAGGCTCTGCGGGGCCTTTGCGAGCTTCGGGGTAGTTGTGGAATTGGAGACTCATGTTGTGAGGGTGATGAGCGTGCAGAGAGATGAATGTGTAGAGGGAGTGCAAGAGCTGCGAGGTAATGGAGCCCTCAGAGAATCACATGCAAGCCGTTATGACATCAGCCCGATCGGCTTTACACTAAGTTAACCTGAGCATACCGCCTACGATATGCTACATACGGACACAACTCTCGGCGATTCACTACTATTACACATACTGTACATCTATATGTTCTATATAAACAAGCAACTATATCTTCAGCTTCAGCCCAGACGCATCCAGACCCAGCGCAAAAGCCGTGACCAGGGCCATGTAGGCGATCAAAATAGCCAGCGATTGCCAGGCATTCGCATCCAAAGTATTGAACGACAGGTTCACGGCGCCCGTAAGCAGGTTCGCCACCAGGAAAACGACCAGCCCATTCTTATTGAAGGCCGCCATGATACGGCTGGTCGCAAACTTGGTTTCTTGCCTCTCGGTCTCCTTGTCTGTCGCTCTGTGCACTGAGGGGAAAAGAAGAGTCTCCGTGACACAGAAGAGGAGAATCTGCGCATTATTAAACGCAGAAACCCAAAGCACATATGGCATGTTCGCCAAGCGGCGGGATACGGGGATCCCAGCACCGTAGCCGAAAGCCGGGGTGGAATTGAATATGAAGAAGACTGACCAGCTTATTGCCGCGATGGCTAGAGAAACTAGCACTCGCCTTCTGGCCTGTTGTGCTGCAGAGGGTTTGATATCGGTTGTGCCGCGAGGGATGATTCGTAGCCCCGTCGCACGGCCAGAGAGGAAAATGGCGAGGTACCCGATGAAAGAGAATACGCCTTCGCGATTTTTGGACAGCAAATCTGGGCCGCGTGGTGATACCAAAATATAAGCTTTCAAGTCCGTAGACTCAAGAGTAACCTGGTAAGCAGTGATGATCAAAAGTGTCAGAACCTCGTATGACCGGATGACAGAATATAGCGTGTGGAAGATCTCGACGAAAGGAGGCAATAGGCCCAGCGTGAAGAAGAAATTCCAGTGCACGCCGTATTCCGTCACATGCTCGGCATAATCGAGGCCCTTGACGCTGTACAAACGAATCAGACCCAATACCAGCAAAGGTATGGAGTGCCGGAACGCAGCGACCAGTCTCTGAAAGAGATTCGATTGTCGAGACAATGCCGATTTCGCCGTCACCTGGGTTTTGAGAATTGCACGAGCTGACACGACGCCCGCCGAGAACACAAATGATCCAACGCCCAAATCCATCAGTGAGGTGCCCCAGTTCTCGACTTTTGCGAATCGACGAGGGAATATGGGGAAGTCAACGGCAAGGATTGCGCTGCAAGTCACTACCATCATGGCAGCGCGGTATGTGGTCAGGAAGGGGTGTACTGGAAACGGGGCGAGGTTTTGTGTCTGCGTGGCATTTTGTTGGGCGTGTCGCGAGGGCTTGGCTTGTTTCTGGCGCGGACGAACACGTCTAGAAGTCAGGAGGATGAGAGCGACGGGGGATAGGAGCAGGATATTCAGCAGTAGAGGGGACGCGGAGTATATGGTGGTCGCAAAGAGGATGCCGCCGACGTTGAGCAGGAAGTCAGTCAGGAGCGCCGCCGGAGTGTAAGGAGTGAAGAAGGAAAGGCGCGACTGTAGCGTTGACCATAACAGCGCCGAGACCTGAAGAAGAGCCTTTGGTGAGAATTATATGGTTTTGGGTGTTGGCAATTGTCGCGACTTACTGAAGCGACCAGTGCAACGGCGTTGATCTCGTCGATGCTGCCCCCGGCAAGATTGGAAACGAAGGCCTCTTTGCGGGCTTTGTAGTCCCGTTCCATGGTGTCAATCAGACCTATGGTCAGGTCGGTCGAGATGGCTAATTCATTGGATTGCACAATGCATGCAGAAAGCGAAGGGCGAGATGACACGTTGACAAGAAACAAACAAATCTTATGCAGCGTTTTGATGTCGTGGAGGCCTGAGGCGAACACTGCGGAGGGCGGAGTGCGGAGTGCGCGCTGATTGGCTGTTCTGCTCTGCCTGTATGTTTGTTTATTATCCTAACAGATTCTTATAATTATAATCTCATGGCTATGAGCATGAACGAGCTAGATCCTTACTGTAATGACAAGTTTACTCCGAGGTTTTCATGCCTCGGAAAGTTCACCTTGGACGCTGGCATCACCTTAGAGCTAGCTAGATCCCCCCGGCCAAGCATGGCAAGGTCCAGAATCCAGAGTCCAGATGCCTCAAGATTCAATAATCAACCCAACTACTTGACTGTGAAATGCAGCTTGTGGTTGTATACGGGGCGACAGCATGGTTATCTCCGGATTTGGTAGCAAGAGGTCGACTCGGCTTTATCTCGTATGCCGAACCAGGAACGAAGTATAAAAGCTGCTCTGGGCAACGACACACCACCAAACAGATAGCTACCTACAATACCACAACAAAGATTTGGAAAATGACACATACAATCAGCAAAGTAGCGCTCGCAGGGGTATTGGCTCTCAAATTTGGCATATCATTGTGCTTAAGCTGATTGCTTGGTACCTAGGCATCCGGGAACCTAGGCTCTCACACTCTTACAGCGCTTCTCGATCGGGGATTCGAGGTTACTGTGTTGAGCCGTACAGCGAAAGAATTCCCGGCCAGTGTGACGGTCAGGGTCGTCGATTTTGGCTCCGTCGAGTCGCTGTCTGCAGCCATCAAGGGCCAAGACGCGGTGATTGACAACACTTTCACGGATGATGCTGATACACCCCTGCGTTTGATGGAGGCTGCAGCTGCTAATGGCATCTATCGCTTGTAGGTCTCATTGCATCGCGTTCCTATTGATTGGGGTTGACACTTAAGCGTTCTTAGTATCGTGAGCGACTACGGCCTCGACCCAGACCTCCCTGGGGTTCACGACATGCCCGTTTTCGCGCGCAAACGTGAGTCTTATCAAGCTGCAAAGGAGAAAGCTGAGACGTCCGGCATGACTTTTACTTTGATTGCCTGCGGGGCCTATCTTGACTGGTGTCTTTCAACGGGGATTGCTGGTATTCAACTGGGGACAAAGTCGGCCACCTTGTTCGATGACGGGGAGAATGTGGTTCCGTGGACGACACTCGAAGACGCCGGGAAAGCGACTGTTGGCGCTCTTCTTCGGCCTGAGGAGACTCGCAACAGGCCGGTGTATGTGCATAATGCGTTCTTGTCTCAGGTGCAGCTGTTACAGATCGTGAAGGACGTCTTGGGAGATGATGGCTGGACTGTAACGTCTCAGGAGATGCAGCCGCTGCTGGATCAATCGATGGCCGACCTTCGTTCGGGAAATATCACCCCGATGACTTTCGGGGTGCAGATTCAATATTGTCTTGCTAAAAGATCACTGGCACGCCCCTGGGAACGGGACGATAATGACCTGGTTGGGGTGAGAGAGAAGACGACCGAGGAACTACGTGCCTTGGTTCGTGGGCTTGCGTGAATATCCATAGTTTCACCAGACCATACATAGGTAGTAAACTAAGCAAATCTCCCCTCTTCAGACAAGCTTGGGTCCAATTGAGGTCGCCTTGGAGCTCGTTGAATGTTACAAATATATGAATCTTGATGGATACCCTCTAATACATAATCTCAAAGTCATCTATGCTTTCAAGCTGCTCGGCATCGCTAGTTTCCCACGGATGCTTGCGCTCGACTTGCTTAATCAACTCGATATGCTTCTCACTGCGCGGCGTAACTTGGAAACGGAACTCGCTCGGATAGTTGAGGAGGCCTGGCTTCGGCTTAACGTCCACCTCGATCTCCTTACCATCCTCGCCCACTGCATGGCTGATATTAAATGTAGCTAGTGACTGTACAATGTTGAGGTAGAGGTTCGAGTCAGCAAAGAAGCGTCCAGGACATATTCTGCGGCCGTAACCGAAAACATCGGACATTGGGTCGGGCTCGTTACGCGGCGGAAGGAAACGCTCAGGATCGAATGATTGTGGATCGGCATACACCTTTGGATCGTGCAGAAACCACCAGATGGCCGGTAGAAGAACTGCGCCCTTGGGGATGTGAAAGCCGTTGTATTCGACATCGTCAGTAGTAGTATGCGGAAAGCCCATTGCGGCAATGGGCCACCATCTCATGGCTTCCTTGACCAGGGCATTGATGTATGGCAGCTTGTCACGGTCCTTGAAGCTGGGCAGTCGATCTGTGCCAACCACGCGGTCGATTTCTTCTTGAGCCTTGCGCTGCACGTGTTTGAATTGAATCATGGCCAGGGTGAATATGGTAAGCGTGATCACTGTGGTATCGGCGGCCGCACCATACAGACTCGCCGCCGTCCAGATGATGGCCTCTTCGTCTTTCTTGTCCAAATTGGCATTGTCTCCCTGTTTCAGCTTCTGGACCAGCTTCGATACGTACGATGATGGCTGGTGAGTGCAGTCAGCCATCCGGCGCCGCACAAATCGGTATGGGATGTATGCTGTTGCTTGGATGGATTTTCGCCATTTCTGGGCCGTCTTTTGAAACTTTCCGCCAGGACAACAAGCTGGGAGATACTGGAGGGCGGGGATGATGTCGACCGCCCAGGCCATGGGGACCGCAGCGAGGGAGAACTCCAGCATCATTTTGTCGACTAATTCAATCAGTCTGTCGGGCTTGTGCGGGTCAATGGTGTAGCCATAGGCCATTTTCAGGACGGTAGCGCCAGCCGTGCTGCGTTCGGTCAGTCCTTTTTGTCTGTCAGTTTTCTCGTAGATGGGATGTGACTCACGTTTTGAAGTGGACAAGCCATTTCTCCGGCTCTCGCAGCGCCCTCACAAGCTGGCGATTCACTTCGATTTCTTGGGCGTCATGAAACTGGGCTGCAGACACCTTGGTGCCGAGCTCTTGATGGAGGTACCTGCGATAGCGGCGAAACATGGGGTTGTACCCCTGGCAGACGACAATGGACTCGTAGCCACAGAGCTTGTTCGCCATGACCATCATGGGGCGCCCCGAGGTCTTGCTCGCAGTCAGCTCGAGTAAGTCGTGCGCTGCCTTTTTGTCGTGGATCAAGACGAGCGTCTTGCCCAGGACAGTCACGGAGCTGATGCCCCCGTAGAGGTCTTTGTGCTTGAGCCAGTGCTGGTATTCGGGCGTGCCATCAGGGGGGAAGTCTCTGATGTTTCCCAGGAGGGGTAGTGGTCTGGGGCCTGGGGGCAGACGCTTTCTTTTGTACGATGCGAGATAGGCAGCGAGACGAGCAATGAGCCATAGCCACAGCATGAGCATGAGCATGAGCATGGGGGATGCAGTCGCCATGCTGAGAGAAGAGCATGCGAGTCGGTCAGAGCTTAGCGAGCAGCGTGCTTGTGTTTCTTTTATACGGACATTCTGGTCTATGCTTGGTCAGGCGAGGCGAGTAGGTAGCCTGAGGCTGCCCATGTGGGATCGACCGGTGTAGATCGCGCTTTGATAGCTCACAAAACGCTGTCCTATCGAGGCACGCAAATAGATCTTGGGTATTTCTGGCGCCGCTAATTTCTCGTTTCTTTTTCTTTGCTTTGCTTTGCTTTGCCTTTCCTTTCTTTTCTATTCGTGGTCGTTTCTTTTTTCTGGCGGTGGCAACTTCCAAGCTTGTCCTAACCCTAATCTTTCCCGATCGGGCACGCAGCCTTGTACTGCCCACTCGATGAATACGCATCATATATACTTAGATTAGAGATAGATAGATAGATATATCTCTCTCTCTTCGGAGAGAGCGGAAGATGCCGGTTCTGACAAAGGGAATATCGGCATTTTCTTCTTGATTCAGAGACCGAAGACATAATGGCTAAGATCTCCTCAATATTGATTATGGAACAGCCGGATATGGACAATACCGGTAAACATGGATAATAATAAATAATAATAATAATAATATAGCAACTAGTTTCAGGTTGTACAGACCCGCCGATAAAGAGGCCTCTGACCTCCCACTCTTCCTTCTTCTTCTTCCTCCCATAGCTAAGTGAGCCTGGCAGTTGACCGCGGAATATATGGCATTACGTCCCAAATCCATTGTTATGACCCGAATCCGTTGTTAGCTTGAACCAGGCAATCCCATACTCCGTCCTACTCCGTCGTTAGCAGCAAATGCTGGTGGAGGCTGCCGATGGCAAGATAGAGAGCGCGGGCTTGAAGATGGGTGGCGATGTATCATTTGGTTATTATATTGTCCTTTGTACCTCGTCATTACGCACTAATTGCCATATCGTGTGCCTACCGCTGTGAAATGGCATCATTCACTGTTTTTGCCCGAGTCCGTAACAGGCAATACATCCAGACATGCTACAACTGAGATGCACGATTAATAGCCAACGGCATGAATATATTTTTTTTCCCCGGGTACCTCATTCGCCAAGTCAGTTTGACACAAGCAACGTAGTTTGGGAATACTTAGAAAAATGAACGTGAATTGTATACACCCGTGGAAGAATTTCTTGAAAAAATATTTCCGACTTCTCTACACTGGATGACAGACAGATAGGTAAGTATTGCCCCTTTGATACACACGCATAGACAGGCACGGGAAGAATTATGCCTTCTTTGAGCATTTTATCAACATTGCGCGTACGTACGTAGCATTTCTTTCTTCTTTCGTGTTTCTTTCAGCTCGTTCTTTGGTCTTCCCTTTGTCCTTTTTTTTTTTTTTTTTCTTTTTCTTTTTTTTCCCTTTCCTTTCCTTTCCTTTCCTTTTCTTTTCTTTTTCCCGCTTCTCGCGGATGGCCAGATCCGTTCTCCCGTCGGTCTAGTGCGGCCAGTCGCAGCGAGCAAGCCAGTCTGGGATGTGAACCGCCGTGTCGGATGCGTGGACAAAGGGAAGCCCGGAAAGGGCTTGTTCGAGAACGCTTCTCGAAGGCCTATCACAATGGGCAGCCCAGTGACAGCGTTGCGTCGATCTCGGACAGTTTACAGCCTGTCGAGTCGGTTTTCCGTGGATGCACGAGTGCCACCTGGGCTGTTAATAGCATCGCGCCATGCACGTCTGCGCCGCGGGGGAGGTTTAGATGCATGACGACGTGGCCAATGGCGGGTGCGAGGCTCTAAGCGCGAATACCTGGTGAGAATTGTCCAGAATTCCTTTGTACTGGGGTTACCTACATGTTGTAGTGTACTCGGAGTATATACCTCGGCCAACGCGCCGAGGGCCGGATTACCGGCCGCCAGTGATACATATCGACAGACTATGTATTATCATATCATATCATATCATGTCATGAATCTGCACTTCCCAAGGCCAACAACCAACACCGGCGGGGCAGTGATTGGAGGGCGCCGTCAGCACGGGCGGTTTAAGCGCCTGGATATATGCGCGCGATGACTTGCAGCCAGCCAACTGCGCTCCTTACAGCAGGCCAGCCGGTGGAGCTGGCGCACACATGGCATTGTTAGTGGGCGTCAAGTGGCTTTAGTGTGGATTGCCTCGGCGGCTACCTGGACAGCAGGAAAATGGCCAGCCAGCGCGAACCAACGCGCTGGGACGGACTGCTTGGCTGCAGCTCTCATAATAAGAATAGTAATATGTGCAGTGCAGTTCTTTACGCCCGGAAAGAATCTCAGCCATGTGGCAGGCATCGCACATGCACTAAAGCGCTAGTTGATGAACGAGGCAAAGTAATCGCTAGCAAACTTAAATAGACGTTTTCTGCTGCGTCGTCTTCCGTTTCTCTCTGGCACGTTTCTTCTTTTTCTTTTTCTGTTTCTTCTTCTTCTTCTCCTCCTTCTCTGCAGCACCTGCCATGGCCGAGAAAAGCAGCACCAAAAAGCGCGATTCCAGAGCCGGCATGCGCAAAGTCACCTCGTTAACGGCCGAGCAGCTGGAGCGCAAGCGGGCCAACGACCGCGAGGCACAGCGCACCATCCGCGCGCGCACCAAGGAGCACATCGAGAGACTCGAGCACCAGGTCGCCGACTTGACGGCCAAGGGCCAGCAGGTCGACCGCGTGCTGGAGCGCAATGCGGCGCTGGAAGCCGAGATTGCGCACCTGCGGCAGCAGCTGGCCATGATGACGAGCAGGCAGCTCTATCCGAGTGAGTACACTTCCTCCCTGTTTGTGTATATATATATATATATATATATATACAAACGCACAGGTATATATGTATACATGTATAGGCTGACAGGAACAGGCGAAGACGAACGCAGGTCGTCCACCAGCTCCAACCCAGCCAGTGTCATTTCATCGCCGTTCAACAGCCCTCCCATGACAGACTCGCTGCCCCCAGGTCCATCCATGCCACCGCTGACACACCGCATGTCGCTCCCACAGAGCGCATGGCATGCCTATGTCTCGCCGCCGCCGCCGCCATCTTCGACGATTTCGTCCGTTAGCGGACCGGATGCGGCTGGCGAGACGGTGCCATACCATCATCCCCAGCATGAGATGGGCTATAGCAACGATGCATATCGCAATCTGGCCTACCCGCCATCCCGGGCACATCCCCAGCATATGCCAGTGGCGACGCTGGGATATGACTCGAATATGCCCTCGCTGCAGGCAACGCACTTGCCAGTGCCGGGCCATCTGCAGCAACAGCACCAACAACCGCAGCATCCTCATGCGTACGTCCATTCGCCGCCGAGCCAGGCTCATATCGCGTATCAATGGGACTCGAGGGGGTGACTAGTAGTCGGCCCTATGCATCCGGCTTGCCACTATTCTGCAGCCAAGTTGGATATGTGTAACCGGGAAGTCCGGATATGTATGTTCAATGGCCGTCCATGTTCGTCCGAACGCAACTAACCAATATTTGAGACACCTAGTAAGGTCCGATCTATGAATTCATGAATGTACATGTATATACAGTGGAGTGGTATACGGTTGGCGGTTTTAATGATTTATGACATGACATGACATGACATGACAGTCGTTTCTTCAGCATTGCATAGTGTTTATTTTTCCTATCTACAAGTTTGTGACGAGTATAACTTTTTAATATACATATATATATATATATTTATTTATTTATTTATATGGCTTCTACTCTTCAGAAAACCGTCCTACTCACTCAGTCTCAACTCCCTTCTCCACCACAGCCACCTCATCCTTCTCATAGAGACTATATTCCACTCCGGCCGCAGCCTCCAGCACTTTTCCGCGCGTCTCCTGCGCGAAAAAGTACGTGAAAACGGCAGCCACAAAGTCAAAGCCCATAAAGATGAGGAAAGTGTACTCGTCGATGTTGCTGATCATGTAGGGACTGGCAAACGAGAAGCAGAATGACGTCGCCCAGTGCGCCAGCATGCTGACTCCCAGGCCTAGCGAGCGAATGCGCGTGGGGAAAATCTCGGGCACATAGGCCCAGGGAACAGGGCCCCAGGAGCAGTTGTATATCTAGTTGCAAGCTGTAAGTTTCTCTTCAAATTCGCAAGTTTTGTAATAGGGTATATATATATACTCACCACAATGTCTAGGTACATCATGGCGACAGTCGCGCGACCAGCATTGGTCACATTGTCACCACCCTGCGTCGGATCAAAGCGGACAATCAACGTGATGATGAGCATGCAAATAGCCATGCCTGTGGCTCCACCAACCAACAGCGTACGGCGGGAGAACTGCTCGGCCATGAAAAAGATGAAAAAGGTACAACCGACGACTTTGATGGCGCCAAAAAGACCGGTCAGGAGCAGGTCACGATTCCCCGAGTCCCCGACTAGCAACTTGAAGTACTGGGGCGCAAAGACGGCGAGGGCACTGCTTCCAGTCGTGTTCTGGAAGATGAACATGGTCGGACCAACGAAGAAACGCATGCGGTTGGACGGGTGCCACAGCTCGCGGATGGTGAAGTTGTCCTTGGCTGCCTTTTCGGCGCGCAAACCGGCTTGCGTCTCGTTGAATTCGTCGAGGGTCTTTTGGCCCTCGTCGCCTCGGATCCAGCTTAGGGACTTCCATGCTTCGTCGGCGCGGTTCTTGCTGAGTAGCCACCGAACCGACTCGGGTAGAGTGAACATGGCCAGGAAGAGAATCCCGCTGGGCACGAGTTCTAGGCCGATTGGGAGCTGCCATTCGCGCGAGGTTTTGGAGATGGTAGGGCTTTTGGCGACGCCCTGAGTCTGTTAGTACACACACACACACACACACACACACACACACACACACACATATATATATATATATGCATATACATTTGGGTTGAGCAGAAAAGAGATCTCACATAGTCAATCCAGTAAGCCGCCATCACGCCCCATGTGTACATCCACTGATAGAAAGATCCGCAGCGTCCGCGGATTTCCTTGGGGGTCATCTCGGCGGAATACATGGGGACGACCACACTCAGTCCCCCCATGCCAACGCCGGCCACGATCCTGCCAACGTACCAGGCGGCCAGGGAGTGTGTGTTGATGGTCTGGATCATGGTGCCGATTACGTAGATGAAGGCGGCGAGCGCAATGGTGTATTTCCGGCCATACTTGTTGGTCAAGGGATAGAAGACGAAGCAGGCCAGGAAAGAACCCAGCTGGTTCAGGCCGACAGTGAGCGAGCTCACTTCAGACTCGGTGCCGGAGCTATAGCCATAGTCCTTCTGGAAGGGCTTGTAGGTGAGCACTCCTCCGGCCACGCCAGAGTCATAGCCGGACAGGAAGGACGAGATGCTTGCCCAGCGTTAGCCACGATGCGTACCCAGGAAAACGACAGGGAGAGAGCAAAGCAAACACCCACAAGATGATGGCACTCAAGTGATAGGCGCGATACGTGCCCTTGCGACTGTTCAAGTCGGGGAATTTGAGAATGTCCAGACCCATGCTGAGCTGCTACAGGTACGGGAAACTGCCAGCGAATTCTTCACAGCCGTAGCCATGGTTGTCGGGCCAGAGTATAAATTTATATAGTTACATCTCGATGGTACGCGTCATGGGCGCAGAAGGGTTGGTTTGTTCTGGCCTATGGCAGGCTAGATGGCGTGCTAGCCTCCCCCGGAGCACGCCATGTTCAGCGTCGCATTGTCCCCCAGCCCTCTGCAGAGAGCACAGGGTATTCCCCCAAGCTCCAGGCCAGCAAGCGAATCATCTCAGCGTCTACGCCGCTAGCTGCTCTTGCGTCTTGCCGCGATGCTATGTTGTGCTCACCAAGCATCCATGGCCAATGGTGTGTCTTCACAAGATATATCTTAGTTATATCTTGAATATTAAGACTATACCACGTAATATGCCCTACATGACATATAAATTCCGGCTATAAGGTTATATATAAACCACGTGCTGGCACGAGTAACTCCCCTCCCCTGGCACGGGACCCCCAAGCCCTAACCTAACCCTAACCTCTCACACTGTCTTATCAACATCACTCGAGCGTCGTCAAGACCAGCAGTATTATGTGATGATTAAACAAACTGATTGACATATAGGCATGTATCATGGCATTGCTAGCTCTATTCCCATCTCATATAAACGGAAAAAAAAAAAAAAAAGTGAACGTGTCAAACTGGCGAACGGTCAACTTAACGGGTATACTGAGTCTGCAACTTCTTAGCAATAGTCTGCAACTGGATATTGCTTGTACCCTCGTAAATAGCCCCAATCTTGCTGTCGCGGAACATCTTCTCCGCAATGCCTTCGCGCACAAAGCCCATGCCGCCCATCCACTCGACAGCAGAGCCTGCAACGCGCCCGGCAACCTGCGATGCATAAAGTTTCGCCATGGCAGCGTCCACGACGTAGTCTTGTCCCACCTCCTTCTTGCGCGCGGCATTGTAGACCAGCGCGCGCGCCGCGGCAATTTCGGTGTATGCCTGTGCGAGCTGATGTTGCATGCCTTGGAAGGTACCAATCAACTGACCAAACTGTTTGCGGTCGTTCCAGGCGTATCTAGTTTTCATTAGTTGAAAGAGGATATATAGAAGGCCAAGAATTAGAAAACACACACCCTGCAGCATTCTCCCATGCCCCGAGAGCCAACCCAGTCATTTGTGCGGCAATCCCAATACGCCCTTCGTTCAAAATGCCAATGGCAATCTTGTAACCCTTGCCCTCCTCGCCAAGGAGATTACTCTTGGGGATCTCGACATCGTCAAAACTAAGCGTGCAGGTGCTGCTTGCACGGATTCCCAGCTTCTTTTCTTTCTTAGCAATGCTGAAACCAGGCGTATCCTTCTCGACAATAAACGCCGTGATGCCCTTGTAGCCCTTGCTCGGGTCGAGGTTGGCAAACACAATGAAAAACCCGGCCTCCATGGAGTTGGTAATCCACATCTTGGAGCCATTGATTTTATATCCGTTGGCCGTTTTCTCTGCCTTGGTTTGCAGCGCAAATGAGTCGGAGCCCGAAGCGGGCTCTGACAGACAGAACGAGCCCAATGTGCCAGAGGCGAGTTTCGGGAGCCACTTGCGCTGGGCCTCGGCATCGCCGTATTTCATCACTGCGCTGTTTACCAGCGTGTTGTGCACGTCCACCATGACGCTGACACTGGGGTCGACGCGGGCCAGCTCCTCGATGGCAATGATGGCCGATGTGAAGTTCATGCCGGAGCCTCCGTACTCTTCTGGTATCTCAATGCCCATCAGTCCCTGTTCAAACAGCTGTTCGATGACCGCCGGGTCCATGGCCTCGGCCTCGTCCATTTCTCGCACTTTGGGCCCGACTTGTTCTTGTGCAAACTTGTATACGGTCTCGGCCATCAGCGCTTCGGTTTCTGTGAGGTGCGAGATTGGGGTCGGCGTGAGATCGGTTAATTCGACATCGCGCCGGCGGGTTGTCGTCGAGAACGCACGGGGGGTGCTACAACATTGTATTTGTTAGAAATCTGGTACTTTCCCGAGTATAATCTCGTGACAAGGATACACACTATTGAAGAGTTCGAGCAGGAATTACTCTCTTCGAGGAGGAAAGCCCAGAGGAAACTGCGCGCGATAAGGGTCGCAAGGTGCGCGAGAGAGTAGCGGCCATGGTGAGCGATGGATGCAACCAGCGTGCGCTCGTGTGCTAGATGCAAGTCAAACCCGTAGAATGGTCTTACTGACTGTAGAAAGACAATTATCAGAGGAACAAAACAAAAGCCTTTGTAGGTGAGAGTATGCGTGGAAGCAGGCTGTCGGTCTGTCGGGCGTGTCCATTCAGATTATACCGAGGCTAGCCGCGGCACGGCGGCAACTCCCTGCAACGCCGAGCGCACCAAGGCTCGATTCTCTGTGGACTGAAACGATCCGAACAAATTTGGTGCTAATAGCAAATTTGTGAATTCTGATAGATATATATATATACCATAGATGACGAATTTATGCGCAGGCGGTGCTCGTTGTACAGTGCAACCCTTGTTGGCTGGCTTCTGACATGTGATTATTGAAACGGCTTCAGCCCTAACCAACTGACAAAGTACTATAGTCACAGCTTTGATGGGTTTGGAATCGATTCAGACTTGTCGTGTACCATTGTCGCCCACGTTTAGACAAAGAATTTACATGAATCGGCCTTGTTTGAGCCATGCCTTTACACAATGCCAATTTCCTTCTGCTACGGCCGTTCCAGCAACAATGCTTGCCTTGGTTGTCGCAGCACCCAGTATAAGTAATCGTAGTATACCGCTGTCTCCGGAGATATAATCATACACTCTGTTACTATCACCTCTATCTTCCATCTGAACTATCCAGATTTCTTGTAGCCATGAAATGTGCTATTTGCCGCCGCGACCTTTCCTTGTCATCATTCTCGGACGACGAATTCTTCCAGGGTCCCGGCACGGGGCAATGTATAGACTGCACCAGTCAACGCACTTCTTCTGGAAGGAAGTACGGAGGCGGCAGATACAATAACGGGACCAGGGTTACTTTTGAAAAAGATGCCCTGCAAAGGCCCTTCGCCGAGGGAAGTTTCCGCTGGGTGGCCAAAGCGGTATACACAGCTGGTCCCCGCAGTGGCCAACCATGTGTTGTGAAGTGGTTCAAGAGCAGCGAAGACCTTGCCCGGGACTATCTCATTCTCGACGTCAAGGCATCCGAAGAGGCCTTGAAGATTGTCAACCAGTTCAATGCGGCCAAAATCTACAAGAGCTCCATCAGAGTCAACATACCCCAAGTGTGGGTGTTTGAAGAGGACGCTGGGCCCGACTTTGCTGGCCAGCAACATCTTACTGAGCCTTATATCGAAAACTATCAAAAGTTTAACAGCAATAGGGGGTGGAATGACGATTCGACAACGTGGGGGAAAGTCATGCAAGCCCTTAGCCACTTTAGCTATTATGTTTCGGGGGAAGAGCGGCTTTTGTGCGACCTGCAAGGCGGCATTTACCAGAACGAGGCCATCCTGACTGACCCCGCCATCTTGTCGCGGAATCACAGGTTCGGCGGCAGTGACACTGGACCCGAGGGCATGAAAGCATTCTTCGCAGAGCATCGCTGCAATAAATTTTGTAACCCGAAATGGCCTCTGCCTTCTCGTCCGACTCAATCCCCTCAAAAATTTCCCGGAACCGTCAGGGTAATAAACAGGACGTCCAAGCGTGATACCAAAGCGACTCAAAACGGTACTGTAGTTAATGATAGGCAAGGATCGTCCGTCACATCGAGTTCGCGTTTCTCAAGCTCGCAGCGGCAGCTTATAAATCCGAGTGAGTTGCTTTCGCAGAGGCAGCTTACAAGTTCGCATCATGCGTCTTCACGGCATGCTAGTTCGCAGCAGCAGCTTAAAAGTTCACGTTTTTCAACTTCGCAGCGGCAGCTTATAAGTCCGCGTGACTTGGATTCTCAGCGGCAGCTTACGAGTTCGCGTCAGTCGAGTTCGCACCATGCCTCTTCTCAGCGACAGCTTGCAAGTTCGCGTCAGTTGAGTTTGCTGCGTGGGGGTTCGCAGTACTGAACAGTTCGCAGCATACGAGGCGGGGTTTATCAATAGAAAAAAATAGACAGTCATTTCAGTCCTCCTAATTTGCAGGTTTCTTGACTAACAGAGAAAAATAGTTTATTTTCTGCATGCCTGGCTCCTCCGTGAGTGTAGGGTGATCGTAGGCTGGAAGTTGAAGAAACAACAAAGCGTGACTTGAAAGTCGAAAGCAGTCTTGGCTTGTGGCTAGTGCACAATCACGTGTCGACGGAGCTGTGGCACGGTGGCTGTGCTGGCGTTCAGCGAGCAAAACGCGGACTCGGCCTCTGATTGGCCGGGCCTGCTGCAGAGGAGCCGCTGGTGGCGTGCGTTCACTTGCATTGGAGATAAAAATAACCCATCGCAATCTGAAATTGTATGTAGAGGCGAGGATCCTTGCTCCTTATAAACTCTGTACGTCTCCTACCTGTCCTGCTCGTCGCATTTTTTCTTCTCTTTTTCTTGTCCTGTCTCCGGTCGCTTGAGCTGCTTTACTTCGTACACAGCTCCGTACTTCGACGTCATTGTTCTTCGAGACCCACTTTCGCGATATGGCTGACCCTCGGGTTCTATACACCATCAACAACATTCGCGCCTACCACATACAGGATGGCGAAGAGACCGAACTCACCCCATCTGGGCCACAGACCCTATCCCTGTTGATGGTGCCTACCACACCGCCCTACACCGGAGAAGACTCGGGACAGCAGCCGCCAGAGGAGGACTTCTACCTCCATTTGAACCTCCCTCCAGAACTGGACATGCCGCTGCCAGCAACCACCCAAATATACCATCAGCCTCCAAATAGCTATCTGATTCCGCGCTGGGACCTTGGCCCCGATGCCGGCGCTTTTATTCGCTTGGAGTTTCCCGGTATTGGCTCCGGTGCGGGCAAAGTTTCGCAAGACGACGTCGACACCTTTGAGACTATCCTCGCTCAATGCACAGCTTTTCTCGAACGCGCCGGTCCGCCGCCGAATCATGCCCCATATAACCCTGCCGATTATGCGCCGGGTGAGGGTTACGTATCCTCTCAGACCCAGATAGCCTCGGCAGATAGTAAGGCCCAGCAAAGTCAGATTGTATTGGTAGATGAGGAAGATGGAAGCGTTGTTGGTGAGCTCTCGGATGGATACGACGTGGTTGAAAAGCCGGAGGTGAAACCGGGGTCCAAAAGTAAGTATTAACAATTCATTCGATCATGGGCGCACGCAAGGACATATCTCTTAACCAACCATCATAGATCCTGTTGAGATCCATCTGCCATCTGAAGGCGAGGGCCGTCAAATCAGCGTCAGCAACGTTTCTGAAGAGTATCTTCGCATGGCGCGACACCCAGCCTACAAGGATTCCACCATTGTGCAGACATCGGCAAGAGCATCTCGGCTGATCGTTACTGGTTCAAACTACCTAGCCAACAAACTTACTAGTGGAGCGGATAGCTTCACTCAGAGAACCAAACCCAATCCGGAGCCATTAAGGTTCGCGCCCGCAACACAAGCCCGAATCCGCAAAGTTCACAACCTATCACAGTCTGCCGCTGGATTGTCGGCACGCACTGCAGGCTCAATTGGGCGAGTGGCGCAAAACTTTGGGGCGAGCCTAAGCCGGCGCAAAGACATGCCTAATGGCCCCTCATATCAGGGATATGGGCGCGATGGTAGTTCTGTTAGCGCCAAGGCTGGTGTCATGAATAAATCTCTGATCGCTTTCTCTACGATAATGGATGGAATCGAGCAAAGTGCGCGGACCATGCTCAATTCCGGTTCCACTGCCGCCAGCACTATGATTAATCATCGCTATGGACCCGACGCTGGGAATGTTGCATCGGACATTACACGAGGATTCAGAAACGTTGGATTGGTGTATATTGACGCCTCGGGCGTGAGTCGCAAGGCAGTTCTCAAATCCGTGGCCCGGGGCATGGTTGTGGGACGCATGCATAACGGTCAACAGGTCGTTGTCGGCACTGGTGATGGAGGACAGGTTCCAGATGGAGCCCCGCCAGCCAAGCCCGAATATGTGTATTATGGTGGCAGCATTAATGGGACCAACACTAGCAACGGTAGTAGCAGCAGAAGCCATCTGCCGCCGCCGCCTCGACGACGAACCCGTACTCCGTCCCCTCCTCCTGCATATGGTGCTGCGGGGACTCATCCTCTGGGGGGTACTGCGCCAGGAGGGAAACGTTAACCGGTAGATTTATAGTTGTTTCATTTTTGTGCTGGTCGTGATTTGGGGATGTTGGTTCAAGATCTTGCAGGTTCGAATTTTTGACTTATATATATCTTCTCTCGTTGGCTTTTGTATATTGGGAATTCGCTTGATGATTGACTAGTTATGGATGAACGACACTAATGACATAAACATGAAATTACCAATAATTGACACCCTTACACTCTTGGTATGACACGTCGACACACAAAGCCCCGGACAGTCCGAATAGTAATAAGATGCCCAGCGAGGAGTTAGTTGTAAACTGTGCCACAAAAAGCAAAAAAAAACCCCCAGAAAAGACGGACGGGCGGTCACAGTATACACGAGGAACTTCGATGGAGAGAAGCTGACCTATCAGAAATGTAACGTTCATCTGGTATCTGATATCAGAAAAAACAAACTTGAATTTATCCACCATATCCTTCAAGTATGTCAACGATAAAACTCAGCGGATAAGCGATATGGACTACTCACGGAGGGCCCGCAACCGGAAGGTCCCGCTAAGCCGCTTTGGGCCTAGTCCAGGGAGGCTACGTTTCAGCCAGGGGTAACTATTAATTTAGTCTTAGACCTCTTAGGAAACTGGGGGATCCTCAGCTGAAGGACTCTGGATTGAGAGTCCCGAGTTCTGTGTCGAAATAAAACATGCACAGAATGCTCCGTAATATGTGGCGTGTTATCAACAGAATGTTTGACTCACCAGAGATACATGCACAATTCCATCTAGAATGAGATCTTGGGTGGCATCGCGACTAAGCCTGATCCGGGCTGGACAGGCAGGTACCATCAAAAGCACTCCGGTAGCACTATTTACTTCTTTATTTACTTATTGGCAGATCTCCAAGTTCTTCACTGAAGAGTAATCAATCAATGTAAAGCATAACTTATTCAATATTGTTGCGACAGAGACCCAGCAAACAGCAAAACCAACCCAGATAAAACACTGAGTATAAACTTGTTTGAGGGCCAGAGGCTCTCGGCCGCTAAGTCCTAAGTAGTACCGTAGTTAGGAGGGCCTCAGGCTCCTAGCTTGCCTATTTGGCTGCTAAGCTTAGTCTCTCCTTCCCGTTTCTCTCGTCTCCTCTCTCGCTCTCCCTTCCTCTCTCTCTTTTCTCGCCCTCTCTTCCTCTCCTCTCCCCCCCTTCCTCCTCCCATCCCTACCCCCTCTTTTTCTTTTCTTTTCTTTTTTTCCTTTTTCTCACTCCTGCCGCGTCGATTCGCGATCACGACCAGGCCGACTCGTCGGCTTTTCCGGGTCATTGTCAAGGTGGAATCGCTCTCGGTCTTCTTACTCTCTTGGCCGCATCGCTCCCGCTCCCTATCGGCCCTGGTCCGCCCTACGACGATGCACAATCATTGTTCAATTCGGTGAATCTCATCAATTGATAGTACAATACAGGGCAATTCTCTCTCGTCGTCTCCCGTGTCTGGAGTCCCATTTCGTCTCCATCCGCTGTTGTCGTGTTGAACCGAGGCCGTTTCACGTCGCTGGCTTGCTTGCACCGTCGTTCGCGCCGCCGCCCGTCACTCAGACCACCTCACGCCCTCCCGACTCCCGCTACCCAAACAGCCCCCTTTGGAACGAACCAGTCTCTCTCCATCGCGCTTGGGAGTAGCTGCAAGATAAACACTGCGCCGTCCTTCATATGTCCTCTCTATTTGCACCCGTAGCCAAATTATTTGTACCCAGTCTGTTCCTATCTCGTCAACCTGCCTCCTCGCACTTACCGCTCAGACGCGTTTCTGTGTGGGTCGCTGCGCTGTCAGTCTAGTCAATTGTCTCAACAGCTTGCCAGCTTGCTGTGCAACTGATCTCCTCTGCAATCTGCTGAACAGATATGTTAGTCAAGCTCCATTACTCATCCTGATCTTCACATCCTGCTATCCTCCCCGCACCCACATTCCTCGTCCGCCACGTGCAATTCTTCCGCTGACATTCTATGTCCCATGCCCACAGCCTTTCCCTACGTTCTTCTTTGATATTTCTAATCCTCTGGGAGGCTTCGGTTGCTTTTACATTGATTGATTGAGCCGGTTTTGATTAGCCAGCACTCTTCTCGCAGCAATATCGTTGCAGACTTCTTTTCATACCTGGGCTTTGACAGTGGGGATGTCGTCTGCTGCCATGCAGACAGCTCCTACTCATACCTCAGCGACCACCACATCGACATTGTACCCTACGACTCCTTCTCCGCAGACCCAAAATGCTTATCACCCGAGGACTACTACAGCGTCTCACTCGCCTCAACCCGTCGACGTGACATCTCGTACCTCTCCTTCATCGTCTAAGCGACCCAGCCAGAAACCAAGCGCCAATGGTACGAACTTGAATACTGCTCCGGCATCGCAATACTCCCAGTACGGGTCAGGATCACCAACGATGAATTCTTCTCATCAACAGCCTTCTGAAGGGCTGGGAGTTACGCCGCAAATCCCTCCGCGTACATCATCAAACCAGCGTTCTAGAAATCAAACATCGAGCCATTCGAGGACCCGAGGCGAGGATGGCGGTCGATCTCGTCGTAGAGCACAGCACTCAGCCGAGAATCCGCCAAGAGCTACTGATTCGAGCGCAGATCGGACACAGCATCATTCCTCCGCGTATCAAAGTCACTCGGACCGCGCCATAGGTTCCCAATCTGAATCTGCTGCTCTATCCACCGAGTCAAGTACCGTTATCAATCAGGTTGTGATAACTGATCCATCCGAAGACGTTGAACGCGAACAAGAGCGTCAGTTGGATGTACAGACTGCATCAGGTGGCGCTTCGAATCCGATTTCCGGTCTAGGACTGGCCGGCGAAGATGGTGCGGATGACACTGCCCGCGCTGGCACAAGGAGCCGTCAAGACCATTCAAATACTCAAGGAAAACGCAAGGAGACGACTTTTGGCAGATACATTCTTGGCCAAACATTGGGCGAAGGAGAGTTTGGTAAGGTCAAGCTAGGCTGGAAACGTGATGGCAGCATACAAGTCGCTATCAAACTCATTCGACGTGAGAGCTTAGGCTCAAATCCTACCAGACTGCCCAAGATATACAGAGAGATTTCGATTCTTCGAGATCTGTCTCACCCTAATATTGTGCGCTTACACGAGATGGTAGAGACTGATCGCTACATTGGAATCATCATGGAGTACGCCTCAGGAGGTGAACTCTTTGACTATATCCTTAATAACCGCTATTTGGGGGATAATGCCGCGAGGCGTCTTTTCGCGCAACTCGTCTCTGGTGTTGGCTATTTACACAAAAAGGGCATAGTACACCGTGACTTGAAGTTGGAGAACTTGTTACTTGACCGAAATCGTAACATTATCATTACTGATTTTGGTTTTGCCAACACCTTCAACCCTGGTGATGAACTCGGTGAAGAGATTGAGTACAACCTCACCAATCGGGAATTTGTTAAGAGGTCGGGTCTAGACAAGACTGATGCAACTGGCATGCGACGTGGCGATTTGATGCAGACGAGTTGTGGCAGTCCATGCTACGCAGCACCCGAGCTTGTTGTGAGCGACTCCCTTTACACTGGTCGTAAGGTGGATGTCTGGAGCTGTGGTGTGATTTTGGTAAGTTTACAACATATAACTCTTTTTTTCCCCCACTTGCTAATCCGTCTTTTTTGTTTTTAGTACGCTATGCTTGCTGGATACTTACCGTTCGATGATGACCCTGCAAACCCCGAAGGAGATAACATCAACCTCTTGTACAAGTACATCGTTAGCACCCATCTTACCTTTCCTGAATATGTCTCGCCACATGCTCGTGATCTCCTACGGCGTATTCTTGTCCCAGATCCTCGCAAACGCGCTGATCTTTTTGAAGTTGCTCGCCACAGCTGGCTTAGCGAATACTCGCATGTTGTGTCTCATATAACAAGTAGCACTACCAATGTTTCCGACATTGCTACTACAACTGTCCCTGCTGGTAAGTGGTTTTTACTTCTAAAATTCCGCCCGGTTTTGGCCTAATTTTAATCACGCCGTTCTGTTACAGAAGGAACACAGGAAGGGCCATCTCTTGCCCGTAGCGCATCCGTGCGTGAGCCACCAAAGAGTTTCCAGTCTAGTGCCTCGACACTCGGTGGTCTTACACATCAACAAGGAAAAGTCACCCAAGATGACTCCCCCGGCAGCAAATCAAAGACTTCAAGAGAGGCAAAGAGAAGGACCGTTCAGGTGGAATATGTCGCGCCTCAGTCTCAGACTGCGCGTGGTGAGTCTGCAGCCAATGCATCTTCTAGCCGGCCGTCGACATCCCGAGCAAACGTCCAGGTAGGACCTCGAGGCGTTGTCGACCAGAACAAACCTTTACCTAGTGAACCACCAGGAGAACCGCGTCGGGCAGCATATGCTCAGCCTGATCAAGGAACACGCCCTGACCCTGGTATTCATCGCTCGGCCTCAGATGCAGCAGGAGGAGTACTTGGAAACTCTCACAACGCACGTCCTAATACCGGCCACTCGGCGACATCTCTCAATGCCGGAAGACTGCCTTCTCGTGGTTCTTACGGGCAACCCGTAGCACCCACAGTGGCAGCAACAAACGCCCAGGGTCGACTAGCGCAGCCGAAGACTGCCAAACCATATAATATCTCGGCTCCAATTCCTCAAGACTCGGACATCTCTATTGGAAGGCCGAGCACCCATCAACTTCCAGGGAAATTCAATCAAACCCCTCCACCAGAAACGGTCAGAACCCACAAACGGTCGAGCACGGTCAGCAGCATCGGAGAGAGGATATTTGGTCGATCTGGATCCATTTTTGGCGGCCGTCCAAGCCAACAAACTACTCGCCCCAAGACCAGCAAACGATATCCTCCTACCAGCATGAGGGATCCTTATGTCACAGATGACTCGAGGGTTTCCGTTGACTCTCGACGATCAAACATGAATACTACGCGCATTGAAACACGGCCACGTCGGTTTTCTTTGATTAACTCTATTAGAGGGTTGTCGTCGCGCGGCGATCAAAACTCTGAAAGTGACACTCAGGAGAACGAGTATTCTCGACCAGCTACTGGTCCAGGGATATTGGCAGGACGGGATGGTGGTGGTTATAGTGGCTACTCCGGCTCTCATCATGACGAAGAAGCACCACAAAACACAAGCTACGAGGCTCACATCGATAGACAAATCGCTCAACTGCACGAAAACAACCAGATGTACCAAGGAAGTTCTGATGACCATGATCAGCCGATTCAGTACGGTACATCGGATAGAAACGAGTACTATGGTTATCCGAATCAAGCGCAATACAACGGAAACTTTGATAGTAGGTCCCGGCCTTCTGCACAACTCTCCAGACCCAAACAGGGAGTACTACAAAAGAACAATCGGAAGTTTGCAGATGCATACGAATATGAAAGGGATCATTCACACCATTCTGGAAGTTCGGGGGCCGCAAGAAAAGTAATGGACTTTTTTCGCCGCCGAGGTAAGGCCAGAGCTGGTGAAGATCGTTGAAGGGCCAAACGAAGGGGTTTGACATTTGGAACTACTGGAACTGTTACTTTATTTTTTTTTCCTGCTCTTTTTTTCTACCGATTGCACATTAGTATCGAGCATATGGACTCTAACACCGGTTCCTACTCGACATTTGCAACAGCTAGTTGGCTTTCGCAGAAAGACTACTAATCTAATCGTCCATCCGCTACCCAAGAAGGTAGAATCCATCCAGGAATTGGATTCAACTGAAAACGAAAATTCCTGCGTCAAGAGAGGAGTGTCCTGTTAGCATATTAGCAGATTTCGAAGGAGATTGATTCTTTGGATACCCCGGCAAGTCGTGATACCCTTGATTGCTTATGCTTCCTGCCGTTCCATGCGATCGATGTCACTGTCGAGTGACTTTTGTCAGCCTTATCGTACAACTTTATACCCTTCACATACATGCATGCATAATTAATAACCAGCATTTTTTCATTTCCTTTGTGTGGTAATAAATTTTTTCTTTCCTTTGTCTGTGTCAAATTTGTACTTTTCCTTCTTCTCTGGACCGTCTCTTTCTTATCCCCTGTGAAGTCGACAACTTCATAGCTTTTGTTTCTTTTCCTTCTACCTCGGGGGAGATCTTATTTATCCTATTCTTCTTACTCCTTGTATTTTCTCTTGTCAATAGTGCGGGAATCGAGGTTCTTCTTTTTCCTTGTCTTGCCTTTCTCCCAAAAGCAGGGATTGCAGAAGCTAGCTGACCTGACCTGTTATGTATTTTTTCTATTCTACTTGTTAGAAAGCGTCTGTTTTCACAAACAACTCTTACTTCACTATTTTATTCCTCTTAGGTCTAGCCTTGTGTATAGAGCATAACAATATTATTATTTTTGTTCCAATTTTGACGGTATCACATACCTATGGAGTGGTTATATATCTAGATAATATATTCAAATATCTAATTCAAACGATCAAGTTGAAAATCTACCAAGGTCCTCAAGCTTTACCCTTCACTATCAATATTAAGCTTCTTCATTGCATAACGGCTGCTATCTCGTACGAAGTTATCAAAACAGGGTCCAATATTATACTTTGTTATAAGCCATGGTCTGACATTGGTTGATTTGAATTCAATCTATTGGTTCACACTTGCCGGCGGTCGTACAGGCTGAATCCTGATAAGAAAGCTGAACAGTTGGCAGGGACTCTAAAAATAAAAAAAGACCGAACGGCGAAGACTGCATAAGTCAGTTTTTACTCGACTAATTGATTGGATGCTGAGAATTTGTTATTTGACACTAGTCATGTAACTAATTCTGTAGGCTGGTTTCATTTTTTACCTTGGATATCGTCCATCGGCTTGATGGCTTAGTCTTGCGAGCTACGTATGTAGTATTCCGTACGTGCGACGTGCGTACCTAAGGCATGCATATGCATAATTAGTTATTAATAAATGCACATCTATCTACAGATACTGGACTTCCTTTTTTCGGAGGAATGGAGTTTTATTCCTAAATGCGGAGGTTGTATCGAATAAGAAAAAAGAAAGAAAAAAACATAAACAAAAGATATCCGCAGCAAGCCGACGGACCAAGGGGCCGGGGCCCCCCTACTTTGAAATCGCCGACTTTTGATACGCCTAGAGCTGCTGATAATCTTGTCATGTGATGCTTGCTGGCTCGCTGGCTGGTTTCGAATGATCGACGCGTAATATCTGATCTGCATGTGTTTCTTCGACTTTGCGTTACTCCTCATCTCGCTTGGATCTCTCGAGTTGAATTAAGGCTGGGGTGAGGGGGAGAACAAAAGGAAAAAATGTTTCAGTTGGATGCTTCCAGTCGCTCGCTTTGTTGATGGTGTTATTCAAAGAAATGACGAAGTTCCGTAGATATCAGCAACAATAATTCGATTTCCAGGCGCGCTCGCTGCATCGAAATAATTGGTTGAAAGCTTCCAGGGCCTCTTTCATGTCATTTCTTGTAGACTGTTTTCTGTTGACCAACCGTTCGTCACTCATAGAGGATTAAGTTCATGCTATGAGCGTTCTTCATGAACGATCATAGCCCAGCTTGAGGAAGCCACTGGTGAGGCCTTTGCCGGAATCAGTACTGGCAGTAGATGAGGAACGGTGGATTGAGTGGTCGGGTTTGTCTGCGTCAGAGAGAGATGACACATTGTCGGTTGTCTTGGTTCCAGCGACAGGGGAGAGAACAAGGAACTGGTTGAGCTTAGGTAGCGGAGGAAACATCTTGTGGGATAGATAATTTGAAAGACTGCTTGGGAGATTATGTTCTTGAGGCAGTTTCTTGAATTTGCTGGCAAGGTATGACAAGTAAAGCTCGGTTGTTGGAGTGGTTGAGGAAGAAAAGAGAAGAGAGGAAGGAGAACGAGGGAAAGAGCGTCTTCTTATATGCTATCGAGACTGACTAGCACGTGTTTCAAAGACCGACTCAGAAAGGGCTGACTTTGTTGTCTTATCTAGGCAACCCCCAGCGGGTGATCTGCCTCTGCCAGATTCGTCACCGAACGCTTATTGTGGCACCACGATCCTTCATTTACTCGGCAAGGTGGGATAGCAGATGCACTATGAGTATTGTGCCCATTCTGATACAGTCTTGGGTGCATCCCGCCATCCCACCATCCTCCTATACTCCGTATCTAGGGTGGGCGGAGAATGCACTAGATTGCCCGCGACGAAACGTGGGGTACTAGAGAATGCCGTATTGGGATACACCGGCGACGCATTGAGATAGTTGCACTCACTAAAAGAAAGTCCATCAATCACTCATAAGCTAGACAAGATTACGAAAAATAAGCCACATACCATATGTGTAGTATACTCTGCTGTCCACTCCTTTTTCAGAAGATTGTATTTTCCATCTTCATCCTGCCAAGGCCTTGATTGATCGTGAACCCATACACAAGGTATTGGCATCCCCTTGGCGCTCGAAGATCGCCGAAGAGACCGGCAAGCATATGGCAACTGCCAAGCTCAGTAATTGTCACAATACGAACGTTGTGTAAGTCGGGGCGGTCGACGGGGGCTTTTTTTTGAACTGCCTTCTGCTGCTTGCCTTCGTCCTCATGCAAGGACCTGTGGATTTCGGATGGTTGTGTTTGTACGTTGACATTCCAACTGCCGGCAATGGTCCACGGATGAATCTGAAGAGATGATAGCTTCTGGTAGCAGAGTCACTATTAGACTTGGCAAGAATGATGCGTCCTACTCTTTCTTGGCCGATAGTAGAAGTGCTTTCTTTTGGTCCCTGTAGAGCGGTCGAGAGAGCAGTAAGCTGCCCCGGCCTCCTTGAGATCGCAACGCCTTGAATGTGTCGTAGCCACTGCAGGACTGAGTAGAATTCGGGAGTAGAAATCGGAGATTGAAGTTGAGGCCAACTCAGGAGGAAGGAGCCTGCGCTCTCCCACGTGATCTACCATGTCCCGAAACAGAGGTTCGTTCCTTCCCAGTCAAGTGACTCGCGCAGGCTGCAAAGCACTGACTCCGACTCTGACTCGACCGCGGCGCAACCTCAACCTCAGCGACCTCATCCTTGACCGTCACAGCAGGAACAAACACTGTCAAACACCTGCGCCGTATGCATACAATTACACCAAGAAGCCAGGCACAAACAGCGCCAACGGTGTCCTTCGAGTGTGCCTCGTTGCGGCTGACTTTGAACGGTGATGATATACCAACGATTGGCTCTAAGGCTTCGAAAAGCTATTTTGACGCTTTCTCGGCGGCACAGGCTTATCTCCACGCTATGTGCATTGCCGCCCAGCCGCAGCGGCAAGGGGTCCTTTTGCTGGGGCGGCCACTACGGCCTCCGAGGCCTTTGCTGTGGCGCAGACAGACACGTCCACTCGGATGCGCCGCCGAATCGCCTGTGCGTGGATTAACCTCATCGCCCTAGCCCTAACAGTTGTTAGACCCTCGCGTCTTTTCTTGATCATTGAAGTTCATAGGCGAAGAGCTCCATCTTATGTGTGCTTTTTCGACGGCCCGGCCATGAACGACATCCACATCCACCCATCGACTGTCTGTGCCAACAGGAAGCCTAATCTCCGCTGTTTTTGACCGTTTTCTCCTGGCCTAGCCTCCGAAAAATTGTGCCTCGAATTGCGTTTAAGCTGTTATCTCCAGTTTCCCCAATTCTAGACATTGGCATTGACCGGCACAGTCCTAGTCGGCACATGGCTCCCCTCCGCATGTAATTGATGTGCATATATCACCAACCCGACAGCACGAGGCGTTCCGTCTCATTCGTTCACATGAATTTATGAGATCCCTTTTAGGGTGACGGCTAGACGAGCAGACGCGCCATATATGAGGGTGAGGAGCCACCGCAATTTCCAGCAAGGCAGATCTCGGAATATACCGCGTCAACTTCGCGGCTAGGACGAGTAACAATCACTAATAGGTGAGTACAAAGACATTGATGTCTCGGTCATTGCCGTCTCATTTGCTGAGACCCGCATCTAAATGGCTCCCTAAGCAGTGACCAAATGAGAAGCCCTAGCGAGCATTGGAATATACCCATAGCGTATCATTGTCCTGCCATTGGCAGGTAGCCCCGATTGCCGCCATTTTATGCCCTTCATTGAGCCTTATACTGTGCCAAACTGACGCAGAAGCCTCGCCACCTTATGCAAACATATTTAATATCTTTCAGTGAAGGGGGGACGCTAACACAGGCAGATCTGGTTGTCCTATTCCATTGGAGTACTGTGGTATACACCATTCTGTCGCCACAGGACATATGACCCCCCTTGAAAAAACCATTCACAAATGAGCTCCGTGAGCTTCTGTCTCGTTTACGCCTGTCAAATTCACGACCATAATGACAGTCACTACCTGGCGTTTCTGCCTTGAGGCAGCTCAGTGCCGCATTACTACGTCCATGTGCCCTAAGTTCATTAGTGACGTATCACCTGTTCCATTAGGTATGTGATAATTCTGCGTTGATAGTGACGAGTGCTGCATAGAGTCGCTTACTAGCGCGTGCAAGACTTCTTTGTTGCACAACAAGGTCTTTTCTAGAGCCTTTCATTTCCGCGTAGATCGTTCTCGAGGCCAGCATTGCGCCGTCAATGGCGCCTAGATGATTCACCACTTTTCCCTTAATGCTCGAGATTATACGGCCCGGTGGTCTCTCTTTCTCCGCACGGAGTCACATTCACCGGTCCACTGACGGCCAAGTGCACAAAATTGCTTGAGCAGAAAGATATATAAAGATGCAGGACTTCGCAGTTTGAATTCACTGTCATAGCATTCAAAACATCTCTCTTACTCAAGCCAAGAAGGAATATCACGCAAAGGAAAGCATCAAGCTACCTGTGACTCTTCAAAAAGCACTTGTCATATTTTCTCATACCTTATATTCCAACCCTCCTAGTCAAAATGTGCTCCGTGTGGTACGTCGAATTTGATTGCGGATGTCAAATCAAGGAAATCGACCTTGTAACTTGCTCCAAAGCCGGCGAGCCCGGACACTATATCGAGAAGAAGGTGTCACGCAGACAGGGCTTGAATTGCCCTGCACATAGTGGTTAGAGAGAAACGAATTGCATCATACCCGGTAGGTAGATGCCCGTTTATTCTCCATTTACCCAGTTACCAAGGCTGACCAAACAAACTTGAATGGAAGACTTGCGCTCAAAATGTGACAACAGCTTGCCATCTTTCTGCTACTATTTGAGGTTTTCAGCAAAGTACCACCGTTCCAAGTGTACACCATCAATACATTATCTCTCGCGAGAGTACTCGACATAGTGTCAATGTTTAATTTGTGATATCAGTTCTTTCTCGAGACTGTTTCACGAAGCGTGTTTATTTTCGGTTTTCCTTCTCCTTTTGCCTTGTACCTACCCCTCAATGTCTTTGATTTGAGTTTTGAATTTCGATTCGTCACGGTTTGCCAGCACATTGTCAAGATTTAGTTAGTTTCTTATTCTGGCGCCAGTTTTACCGATCCCCCTTTTTTCCCATGATCACCTGTATATTTCATTCTTGATTGATCCCTTCCGAGATCACTTTCGTTCCTTTTGATGATATACTGTTTCTTCTGGTTTATGACAGCACTCCTTCATTGAATTTTGACATTTTTATATTTCAATCCTTGAAATATCCCAAACTTGCTCATAACTTCTTTATCTTCAACGAATTCATGACCACATAATACACCAGTCATTAGATAGATAGACGTAAATTGTGACAAGTAATTGAGAAAGCTTCTGGAAATATCTAAATCGAGCCACTCAAAGCCTTGAGCAATCAGAATCAGTCCTTGAAAAAGGGAAACAAAGGAAGTAGCAGAAATTATATCTAACTAGACGCCACCCCGTATACAAGACCGATAGTCTCTAGCATTGGCCTTTTCCTTGACCGTCATTGGGCCTCTAGCCGGCCTGTGAGGACCTGCCATAGTTTCTTATTGCTGGGAAAAAGCCGCAGAAGGCGGCAGAGACTAACTACTGTAGCTCGTAAAACTTCGGCCATGGACGCCCAGCGAATGGGAAACAGCACTTTCCAGAAACTATAGGTCTCTGATATCCGTGCTGTTATGCATGGACTCCACAAAACTTGCGGCGCTGCAGGACTAAGCCATGCAGTCACTTTGGGTCTTCTGGTGGTCTATCCCCCCTCTTCCTTTGTATGCGGCCATCTAAAGGGGTGATGTGGCACCGCTCAAATATCAAGGAAATGACCACCCAGCGGCCTACCAATGATCAATGGCAGAGTATGGCCTAAGCTGACTTGAACAAGCCATCTCGGGCCGCATAATGCGCATGACTCACCCTAGAATTGGCAAAGATCCTTGGAAGATCCTTCTAAAATAGCGTTTTGAAAGCCGCCGTCGCTTATTTCATCCTGTGCGATAGTGTGACACCCACTATAAGATAGTACGTGACTAACATGCAGTCAAATGCAGTACTTCCTGATGTATGACCTATTAGCATAAGGTGGCAATCTTATCACAAGCCTGATTGTCTTTCATTTTCTCCCGCATCATGTAAAGGAATGACAAATACACTCGATGCCTTCGTATAGGTTGTAGATATACGTCAACAAAAAAGCCACGCTCGGAGCGTCCACCCCTCCCATTCCTGACTCGTAACTTCACCGATGATGGCCTTCAATTGCCGGGGAGGTGGCCGATGAGTACCCACATGACACGCCAGGGTCCTTGAAAAATCAGTAAGTGGTCCATCGATTTGCAGACGGAAACAGCCTGAACAGCCGAATACCCTGACGTAGACGCGCCACAAGTTTAATCAAAACGCCACAACCGGTTCATTGTTCATGAACGTCCTGAACGAGTAAGTCGTGCTGCGAGAGACTTCCAGCGACACGATATATTTCAAGATCAGGTAGTAGCTTAGCAGTGTGGAGCTATAGTGCTAGCTTGCGTACGTGTGAATCACAGTGCATGCTGCGATGGTCATCTGAGCGCCTATTTCGAATTCTAAGCGGCGTATGAAATTAATGCAAGCCTTGTAAGCGACGAAACTCCACTCAATCCCCGAGAAGTACAGTCTCTGCATGGATTTATGTAGATATCTTTTGCCATGTTCACCTCATGCAAAGTGAAGGAGCTGCTTCGTGAAAAGGTCACTGGACGAACGAAAAATTTCTTTGTTGCCTGGTCAATGCTCTTGTTTTTCTCGTGGATAGAATGCATTAGTTTCATGGACCAATGTCATTTTGTCTTCGTTCTAGTGCGACATATCTGGAGGGCTGCTGGCATGTCGAGGACTTGCCTGCACGATCATCCGCTAAGACAGGGTTTGCTTCAATGAACAAACCTTCGGGGTAAGAAATATGCGCATCCCTCTAGTTACGCGGTAATAATAGCGATGAAAGTGTGCATAATCAAAGCTGCGTAGAATTGAAATGAAGTTGAAGCGATGTCGCACAATGCAAACAGTGCAAAGTCACGTGGGTAATGACGTAGAGAACGTCTTGACGTCGTCTTTGGAGCGCTTTCCTTCAGGCTGCACAAAAACAGAACAAGCCACATCATCCCCCCGTCGCTCATCCAACAACTCTCTCTCCAAACGCAACTTCTGTACATTTTGTATTGCTTCCTGAAAGAAAGTAAGACCATATTCTTCCGTCCAACTATTCTTTTTCCGCATTTTGTCAATAAGCGTCGACACAGACCGCTCGAAAGCCTTTTTATTGACCTTGGACTTAAACTAGCTCTCCAACCAGCACGAAAGAGAATCAACCGCCAACATGACGCTCTATTACACTCTTGTAAGCTTCAAACATGCAATCGCTGCTCACTTGAGAAACAATAACTTAGTGTCCTCTGTTTCCCCTATAGGTTTTCCTGCTTCTCGTTTTCGAAATGGTCGTTTTCCTCGGTCTAATCGTTCCGCTTCCATATACTGTCAAGAGAAAACTTTTTGCTTTCATCTCGGAAAGTCCGATTGTGGCAAAGCTGCAATATGGATTGAGGGTCAGTTTGTTTCAGGTCACGCGTTGTCAACACTTTGCTGACTACCACATTAGATTACGTTCATTTTCATCCTCATCCTTTTCGTCGACAGCGTTAACCGGGTTTACCGTGTGCAGCTTGAGATGAGTGCTTTTAGTAAGGACCCGGGGGCAGGGTCAGTATAGTGTCTATTCTCTCTAAATATCTTGACGAACATTAGGCTAAGGATGAATAGCAGAGCTGCTGCTCTAGGTGCTGAGCGCATGGAGGTACAGGCTCGCAAGTTCTACTCTCAGCGGAACATGTACCTTTGTGGCTTCACGTTGTTCCTCTCTCTGATCCTCAACCGAACCTATATCATGATTGTGGAAGTCCTTCGCCTGGAGGACCGGGTCAAACTGCTTGAAGGTGACAAGAAGGCAAGCGGTAAGGACGCCGCTCGTGTTGCAGAAGCTGGCAGCGTAGGCGAAATTGGACGCCTTAAGAAGGAGCTCGAGGCAAAGGACCGTGACATTGAGACTCTCAAGAAGCAAGCTGAAGGTCTTCAGCGCGAGTATCACAATTTGGGCGATAAGTTGTCTGACTCTGACAGCGCTCCTAAGAAAGACCGATAAATTGTCAACGAGAACGGATATTGTCCTTCCATGTACTACTCTTTCGACCCAGTGAGCAGTCAGCACATGTATTGACGACTAGATCCGGTACAGACTCGTGACTACTGCCGATCGCTCAGCCCTCGGTGGTAGAAAGATTCCTTCTCCCCTTATATTTTGTCCTCGGGGCCGTTAGCTTCACCCAGCGTTTGCAGATGAAGTGATATGTCAAGAAAACCCATTGTATCCATACCGAAGCTTGTGCGGGGGAGTACAAAAATATAATATTTATATCTTCAAAATGAAAGGATCGATATTAAGCAATTTTTCCCCATTGTTTTTCGTGACTGAACCACAGTCATTTTAACACAAAATACTTAAACAGTTAACCACGATGGAAGTGAGACCGTAACATTAGTCGTTCATATGAAAAGCGGTTAACATCACTTACCTAGGTGAATGGCTGGACGTTGGGCTTCTGGAAAGCACTTTTCCTTTATATGATGCGGCTGAGATGCTTCCTCCGGGTCTATTGAATACTTTCCAAGGCGTATGTAAGAGTTATAGCCGGTGTTGGAAGTTATCATACTGGCTGCTCTCCCCTGCCATCTTCGTTCAATGCATGATATCACAGGCAATATGAGTCTTTAATCATGAAGTATGTAAATCGAATGCAATCTTACGATCGTCAAGTATTTATTTTTTATATCCTTGAACAAAAAAGTACATGAGCAACCCAAGGTATCTAATGCACTGACAGCCCATCCCAAACAGTAGCACGAACAAGCCTAGCAGGAGCATAACATTTCATTCCCGGATCTCCGTCATTCTCCAGTCTGTCTGCAAAGAAATATATTCCAAAACGGCCAGTGCTGTTCGGATGTTCTTCTAATGGATTTTTCGAATGATATACCCTGGTCGATATTGCTGTACGCTCATTGACAAATATCTCAAGAACGCTGACGTCGAATACGGCTTGGATATGAAGTGTTTCTTCTACCTCGGCCGATTCTGTGGCGGCGTGATGATTTCCTTGGGAATTAGTTGTGTATGAAAACAAAGTGTGAGGACTGACTTCTCGCCCTTGATCGATTTGGGTGTCGTTCATTTGCAGACTGGGTCGCTCGACGATGAAGGTCTCACTGGCTGGTTCCCAGAAGAGGACTGTTTTACCTGCATGTCCTGGTTTATTACCTGGGTCATCACCAATGGCAAACCCTACTCGACGACAGTTATTACCAACTTTAATCTCGGCATCTACCTCCCATTGCAACGTATGCAGAGCAACGGAATCCAGACAATGACTTGAATCGCCCAACGATCCTAGTCTTCTATCAGAGATAGTTCTCTTCGTTGCCTTGTCCCGAAGTTTCTCCAGGCGTTCGTCAGGAGAGAACCCCAGTGTGCGAACCGTATATGTCCCATGGCCATCAGGTGTGACTTCAATGGAAGTAATATCCCTTAAATCAGCCGTTGATCGCGCTCTCTTAACCCCGTGCATCGTCTTCAACTTAAGAACCCGCGGTAACGATATTGATCCACTCCAACCCTGTCGATGGCGAAGATTATCAGGTAAATCCTCTTCCGTTATCCAGCCAAACACGACTTGTTGTTGTGATACAGGGTCCCAGAATGAGTTTGCTGCATAGTATAGTCCGTTGTCGAATATCCCTGCAAAGGAGTATTGCATCAATGCTGAGGAGGAAGCAGAAGTAGATTCGTTGCTTTTGATACACATCCATAGCTGCGACCTTTGTATCCTGCTGTCGCGCGCAATCGGATCATTGTCTTGTGAAGAAATATCATGTCGTGGTAGACATCCCTCTGTTCCCATTATTACAAAATCTCTAGACACGTTCTCATCGTCTGTCAGAGTTACCAAATTTGTAACTTCCCAATTCACGCCAAAGTCTCCGGACCATCGAGATGGCCGGAAATTCAGACCGGTATCTGACAGCATGCCAACGTATCTCCAATCGGTTAAGTCGTCCCTTTTCACAGCGTAGACGAAGACGGTGGGAGTATGGTCTTGTAGACCACCTGATATGAGCCCGTAAAGGACGTCGTCTCCAGGATGTGTCCGTCGAAGACTCTCCGGCGCAGATGCCCATGAAGAAACAAGAAACGGATCCCTCCACCCAGTGACTTTCTGTCCCTGCATAGGTCCGGGAAGAATAGGATTGCAGGATTTTCGTTCCCACGTGGCGCCTCCGTCGTCAGACACGGCGATACTGAGTGATTCGCATCCATTCACATAAGGCAGCGTGAAGTGAATGGGGATATGGTTAACCGATGTATAAACATACGTTAAGGTTCCATCCTGTTTCCCGTTCGTGTTGCTCGGTTGGAAACATCCGGTGAATATCCCTTGACAGTCGTACCAGGTCGATGGGCTGAGACATGGTTCTAAGGAGGTTTCCCAAGAAATCAAGTCGAATGATGCTGAATGTCCCCAAGCAATATTTCCCCAGTCGTTACCGTTTGGATTCCACTGGAAAGAAAGATGGTATTTCCCTGTTGAGGGGTCATAGCCTGGACCGCAAGGATCGTTCAGCCAGCCATGAGGAGCGAGAAGGTGGAAAGTAGGCCGCCAGCGCGTGAAGTCGCATTGATTTCCCGAGAATTCGGTGTCTTTTGTTGCAGTAATATTGTCGAACTCTTGTGCAGTTTTGATTGTTGGGACAGCGTCAAGCAGTTGGGTCTTTGCTAGCACCGACATATTTGATGCACTAGTTGGTCTTGAAATGAAAATCTGGCAAACCCAACGGACAAAAGAAGTGATGCAGATCTAGTTTGGATTGTCATGGGGTATTCTCGGTGAAACAAAGTGTACCATACAAATCTTTTTCCGGTGCTCAAAGCTGCCGGGGAATCGTGGGAGAATCATCGGCGAAATTGCTGGCCCCATATTCAAGTGCCCCAACTTTACAAAAATTTCGCCGAGAAGACCTCAGCTGTTTCTCCAGGCTTTCCTGGGGTATTGACCAGAAAAGATGACAACCCCGGAGACATTCGATATAAATATCAGACCATGCGGCGTGTCGCCTTTACCATGATTGCTCTGAGACCCAGAGTTTCACGAAATTGCTTGTCATGTCTTCGACTATGATCCAGAAAGAATCTGTCGACGACAAGGCTGTCCAAGTCCAACATGTCGATGCTGTCAGGCCTCGAGCGGAAAATGCAGTCAATGCGTGTCTGATCTATGCGTGTATAGCATTTGGATCGGCTTCGTTTCTGTTTGGGTACGATGACAAAGTCATCTCGCCCGTTGCAGCCCTAAATGGCTTTGTAAGAGCACACACCACCTAGTTGAAACATTTATAATTCTAACTCATGCCATAGGTAGCACAGTTCCAAGGCGATCCTGCCAGAGGAACCTTGTCCCTCACAGCACGCAATCAAGACCTGGTATTCTCAGTTCCACTCGTGGGATCTATCATCGGCGGTTTAGCAGCGTCGCCCCTGAACACTCGCTTCGGCCGCAAATGGACCCTTCTCGGGGCTTACATCTTCTCGCTTGGAGGCGGATTTTTACAGCTGTTTGCTCCAAACCTTGCTGCTTTTGTCGTTGGGCGGTTCTGGAACACAACCGTCATCGGAATCGCAAACGCAACTGCGCCGTTGTACATGTCAGAGGTAGTGCCTCCGTCTATGAGGGGCCGGAGTGTGACTTGTATCAATATATTGTCTCTGTTGTCGGGCGTCGTATCCACTGTCATTGTCAATGGAACGCACACACTAGAAGGTCGTAAGCAGTACATGATTCCACTGGCCGTCCAGTGTGCGCTCCCCGTGATCCTGTTCCTTGTTACAATCGGCCTACCGGAGAGTCCACAGTGGCTCGTCAGCAAGGGACGAATGGATCAAGCCCGTCACAACCTTCGCAAGTTACGAGGTTTCTCGGACTGGGAAGTGGACGATGAACTTCGCGTCATGAAAATGTGCGAAGAGAATGAACGAGCTCTTTCTTCCAACGTGCGCTTCTGGGAAATATTTGGCCGGGAAAATCTCAAGCGCACTCTCACCGCGGGCTCGTTTTACTCATTAAATCAGATTTCCGGTATTATCCTCTCGACTACCTACACAACGGTCTTCCTCACTCAACTCGGCGTTGGCGATCCTTTCACATTCACCGTAATTGCGTCTTGCTGTACCCTGGCCGGAACAATGGCTGCACCGCTCGTCATCGACCGTGTTGGCCGACGCCCTACAGCCTTTGTCGGAATGAGTTTGCTTCTGATCATCGACATTGCAGCCGGTGCGCTCGCATTTGACACCGGCAACAGAAACTCGGTCCTCGCTATCGCCGCATTGGGTTTCATTTTCAATTTCTTCTGGGGCGCTGGCTTTTACTCTCTGTCCGCCTTGATTCCATCCGAGATTGCTACCCCAAAGCTGCGCAATCACACAATGGCATATACCATCGCATGTGCTCAAACGACCGCCGTTATCACCACGTTTGCCGTGCCACAATTGACGTCTGCTGATGCTGCCAACCTTGGAGCGAAGACCTATCTTGTCTTTGCGGGCTGCATGGCTTGTGTTCTTGTGGTTGTTTATTTCTTTATGCCGGAAACCAAGGGCCGCACTTTTGCCGAGGTTGATGAGATGTATGATGCTGGAATTCCAATGTGGCAATGGCGCAAATATCAGACATCCACAGAGGCCAAACAAGTGAAGGTAGTTGATGTGACGTCGCGGGCATAAATATATACATGTATTGTAGGTACTTATCAAAAAAAAAAGG